TGCAACATCCTGTGAATTCATTCAAGAAACAATCCAAGGCCCAGAATATCACCAATAAAAATGTCCTGTAATTCTTCTACCATAGACAAGAATGTACTGCAAAAACAGTGAGTTTCACAGCTTTATGATATATTATTTCATAACCAAAGTGAGCCCAAACCAAAAGAAGGGTACATTTTTTAATGAAATAAGGTTTCTTCGATGAATTACAATTTCCCAGCACTGGCTTTTTTGTGAATGTCTATCTTCAGTGTGCTTTTTTTCAAATCCAGGAATGTGTATTTTTGTATGAAACATTTTTCTGCTTGCTGCAGCAGCTTTTTTGATGAAGTTTTTTCCTTCAATTTATGTTCTACATGAGGTATTCGCAGTATATTTGAATCAGGGTGTACTGATCACTATACTGAGGGCAGTTGCGATTCCCTGGGTAGACAACATAATGGACCAGCACTGAGAAGCATACCACACCCGAAACCAGGATGCCTCCATGGCGGCGTTGATGGATTACACACCCCAACACACATTCACACACACTCACACTCACACATGCAAGTCCCAGATTTCAGTCAAAAGTTATTGTGTCAGTCATTCACTTCCCTTATGTCTACTGAAGTCCTTTATTGAACTGATTTGAGGTTAACCTAATTTTTATGAAGTGAAATTTGCTTTTATACATTTCATGGATTAACCATTTTATGCAGGAAAAATCTTCAAAAAATGTTTTGAAGGTCCTGAAAAGAAAGCTTCAGAAACAATGCTGAGAAATTGTGATTGTGATTTTTTTAGATTCAAAAAATGAAATTGCTTCTTGGTGATTTTCCATGGAGTTGATTTCGACTATTGCTATTTCTGAAATATACTACTGTAGTAAACCAAAAAGAAAGATTTGAAAAAGAAATAAAATATTACTCAAAATTAACAGATTAAATCAAGAAGCTTCTTTATTGAAGAAAATTAAACTTTTTACTTCAATTTTAATGAATCATTACCCAGTTTGACAACTTTATTTTTTCTTTGACATTTTTCATGCACACAAAATTGCTTGGATTTGCAGGATTAGCTACTTAATATATCTGGCAAAATTCTGCAATTTCTTGTTGGTGATTAGATTTTCTTGAACCTGATGTGGAAGCGTGATGTGTAGAACAATTTATCTTGTGGTCTGTATGAATAGCTTTACATGTTTCCATTGACAAACTTTTTTTATTATCAAGCTAATATTAGAAAATTAACATTGTCAAGCTAATATCAGAAAATTAATATTGTCAAGCTAATATCAGAAAATTAATATTGTCAAGCTAATATCAGAAAATTAATATTGTCAAGCTAATATCAGATAATTAATATTGTCAAGCTAATATCAGAAAATTAATATTGTCAAGCTAATATCAGAAAATTAATATTGTCAAGCTAATATCAGAAAATTAATATTGTCAAGCTAATATCAGAGTACCTTTTGAAAGTCTTTGCATTCCTCAGTGAATACACAGACTTGATCAGGAAGTACTGTACATGCTTATTGATCAAGTGTTCCAGAAATGGTATACAGTACATTTAATTTTGTTAAAACAAAATTATTTTTAATGCATTAATGTTCATAATGGATTCATTTTGAGGTCCCTCCAGCAGAGTTACAATGTTAGTCAAGACTTATATATGAAAATTTACACTTTAACAAAGGTTTTTTTCCAAGTCCCACCAGCATGGCTTATTTGTTCTTTTCTATCATACAGTAGACTCTCTTTACAGTGATTTTCTCTGCATGTAATTCAAATGTTCTCTTCTTTTTAATGGTTCTCAAGCATTCCCTTATATAAGGGTTTGGTGTGACAATAAGTTTTTATGGTCCCCAGAATTTTGTTGGAGAGTCCACCCTGAGCATGCCAGAAAATTAATTAAATCCCAAATGATATTAGGATTCTTTACTGTACTTATACAAGAACTTTAGAACCATCCCTTGTATATTGGGGGCTTTCAAAAAAACTCTCACAAACACACACACACACAGGTTCAGTGAAGAAGACCCATTCCATAAGGGAGAGATAAACATGGCATGGGGAGTAACCCAAGCGCAGTGGCATGCCTTCTTCCTGCGCGCCTTCTCGGATTTCTCCCGTCTTGCGCTGCTCTCTGTCGCCTGGCGCTGCTGCTGCTGCTGCTGCTGGGATGAACCAGAAACACCTCTTTGTTGCAAAAATAATAATAAGAGAGGAGGAGGAGGAGGAGAAAAATGCTACATAGCGGTTGTTTATACGCGAGTCTCTCGGCTGCAGACTGATGGTTACCTGAGTTGGGCGCCATTTGTGAAGAAAAAATATGCTATGCTGTATCATACCTGCATGCTGCCACAGTGTAGGATGAGAGAAAAATGACTCCTGCTGCTGCTGCAAATATGATGTTCAAGTGAGCAGGAAACTTATATACTGTATATACAGTACAGTAGTTGATTTAGCTTGTTTTGCAGTTGAACCTCATCATGTATGTGTAAAATTGTATAGACACAAAATTGAAAGGATTTATTGAGTTTGAGAATGTGACTTCATTTGAGTTGTTGATGGGTGTGGGATAATCAATGGAAATTATGTTCTGCTGCTCTAATTATAAGAACAGTTCATTAAACCTGTACTCATGGATGTCCTATATATACTGTATCTTCACCAGCAGTGATGAAAAGCGTAATCCCTTATTGATGAGAGGAAAAAACTTAGAATAATTTTACATACAAATTTTGTATACTGTAATTTAATATTAAAGTATCAAATTTAAGTAATCTCAACTTATTATTTGTGCCCAAAATTTTCTGAATTTTATCAATTTCAAAGATAACAAAAAGGTAATCCTCAATTAATTTCCTACAAATTTGGGAAAATTCCAATATCTTATTAACCAAAAAATTGTCACAATTTGAAAATCTTTTGCCCAAAAAGGTTTTGTTGTGTGCAACAATTTTATTTGTCAGTCCCATTACTCATTCACCGCTGAATTTTTTATGCGAAACTTTGTTTGAGGATCTGTGGTATCTATATAGAGCAGGGACCAAGAGTAAACAGTACACAGTAGGAAAATCTCAAGAGCAATAAATGATGGTTAAAATGCCTGTTTCAAACAAATCCTTTTTTAAAAATTCCTCCTCCTTCTTGGTCACAGTGTTCCTTCAGGCTCATTATGACAATTTGTGTTACATGTAGAAGTTGGTTCTAGGTCTAAAAATATTCACTGGAGGTGATATAAAAATAAGCAAATCAGTATGCATAAGTGTGCTGTAAGCGCATTTCATAAAAAAAAGGAAGCTCCGTTTTTATTCGGGAGGTGTTTATGTTTGGCTGGAAGTTGTTTTTTTTTTCGTCAATTGTTGTTTCATTCGTGGCGTTTCTTTTTTTTTCAGCTGCTGTGATATTTTCTCCTGTCACCCGTATGGCTGTTGAATACAGAAAAACCGAGACGCCACACACACATGAACGCACTCAACTTGTCAACGCGACCGCAATTTTTTAATCAAACCAGCAGCAATTTCCGCCGCGCTTTTGCATCTGAATAATGAAATATGGTGCTTCACTTTTGTTGTACACTTTATGAACAGGGGTATTATGACCTGATGTGCAGTATTTGGTATGCATCACACATACATAAATGCAGTATTATTTGGTGTTGTTGTGGGCGGTTATATATACACTATACATAGTTTAATAGAACCTTTTTGAGTTGAATGAATGGTTTATTACCATTATGCAATCAACATTCAAAGCTATATCGAATTTTGTATGCCCCTGAGATGTGGGTGTAATTATTTCATTTCTAATGTCAGATAATGTCATCTGCATGTTTGATCAATATGTTTTCCCCATTCACTTCAATGGGAAACTTTTGAATCATTTATTTTGATGTTTGTAAGTAAAATTCTTTAAAGAATCAATAAAAATTTCCTTCCTATCTTCGATAAAAAGCAGAAAATTCCTGTGCAGAAGAGAACTGTACATAAATTGATATTTTTGCAGGCACCCAAAAGTAGAAAAAGGAAGAAAAAAACAGAACAAGGACTATCACAAAGTTCAAGTGTACTGTAAACACGTGCAGCTGATGGGAAAAGCTCTGGAAAATAAGCACACAATTGGCTTCTTCTTGAAAATGATTTTGAATGTAGTAAATGTGTTGCATAGAGTTATACTGCATTTTCAATTTTGTTCATGTAGCACATTAGCTATACTTTTTTTCAGCAGAGATAACAAAGTTTGATGGATTAAATGTTTCAATTTTATTGAACTCTTGGAAAAGTGGAAAATTCATTCATACATTGGCCAGATGCTGGGGTCGATTTTTCAGTTTGAAGTGTCTATACTTCAACTCTCCTTATACAGTATGCTGTCAATATTTCCATTATACTTGTGCCAATTAATTTTCAGGCCTTTATTGTATATCAATATAGAAGAGAAGACATATAAAAACATTTCAGTGCCTACGTATCATCCAGCATTGTTTACAAATACTGTATGTAAGGTGTCAAAATTACAAGGAGAAGTGCAGCACAGCAGTATCTTTTTTTACAGTACAGTACATAGCTGGATAACTAGTACGCCATTCACTTTTGAAGCAATGGTACAGCTGTACAGTATTTCTTATTGACGCCAGCATGAGGTTGAAAAATCAAGGCTTTCAGGTAATGACAGCTGCCTTATATAAAGATATACTGCAGCTGGAAAACAATAAATGTTGCTCAAGAGCATTGCGCAATTGCATGTTTTTATAGACCTGAATCTGACCATGGCATGCGTTGGAATCATGATGGCCTGCAACAGAAGCTCTGTGTCTATTCTCTAGGAAAAGTTACTGTACTTTACTTGGGGAACATGGCGCCGTGCATGGGAATTTGCTGCGTAACAATTCTTCAGGAAGCAGCGAGAATTGGTTGCGGTATTTAATTAACGGATTTCACGATACCCATGGGAAGTTGGGAATGTGTGACATGATTTTGGCGTATTTAGATATCCATTAATGACCTGTTCCTGTTTTTTCCTCTATTGCATCTTCAGAATTTCTCCTCCGTGTTAAGCCGACTTCTATGCTGGTGTTCATCTCTGGATTGATTTCGTGATAGTGGTCCTAGTTTTTTTCCCTCCGCGTGTACCATTTTATTTCTTAATATTGAGAAATGGCATCGTCCAGTTTGCGACAAACTGCTTTGACCTGCAGTGGCCACACAAGACCCGTGGTCGATCTCGCGTTCAGCGACATCACGGAATCTGGGTACTACCTCATTTCTGCGTGCAAAGGTAATATATTCTGTTATAACATCTCAAGTGAAGTCGGTCGTGGTTAATAACGCTTATGTTTTGCAGATGGTAAGCCCATGATCCGCCAAGGAGAAACCGGGGATTGGATTGGGACATTTGAAGGTCACAAAGGCGCAGTTTGGGGCGTAGCTCTCAACAGAGATGCCACAAAGGCGGCTACCGGAGCAGCGGATTTCATGGCTAAGGTGAAACCATTTCTTTAACTCTGTTCGAGCGAGATTTGATAACGAATTCCTTTTCAGCTTTGGGATGCGACTACTGGGGAAGAAGTGCATTCGTTCATGCATTCACACATCGTGAAAAGTGTGGATTTCTCTCCGGACGGAGTTCGGCTTCTCACTGGTTCCAACGAAAAGCTGCTCCGAATCTTTGACCTGGAACGACCGGATGCTGGTTTGTATTTTCACGAACGTGATTTTTCGCGGAATCATGAGCGGCGTTTCTTCAGATCCGGACAAGTTTTCGGGCCATCAAGACGGCTTGAAGACTACCAAGTATTTGAAAGACGGGAAACGGATCGTAAGTCTCTCAGACGACAAGACCCTTCGCATCTGGGATTGCGGAACTCGCCAGGAAATCAAGAAGCTCGAGTTCAAAACCCCTCCCAATGGGATGGAAGTGTCGGCTGACGGAACAACGCTCGTTGTTGCTCACGGAAATTTTGCCTCCTTCTTCAATGTTGATTCGTAAGTACAGCGTATGACAAAGAAATCGTTATCTACGGCTTTTATACCGTCGTTTTTCCGCTTTTTTTTTTTTCAAGTTTGGAGAAGCTACAGGAAGTGAGAGTTCCTTCAACTGTGAACTCTGCGTCGCTGCATCCCGACAAGACTGTTTTCGTGTGTGGAGGGATAGACTTCAAGATGTACAAGTTCGACTACTCGTCTGGAGCCGAGATTGGTACGTTATCTTCTCCTCTTCTTTTCTGTTTGAGTTTTGACCTGTATTTTTTCGATTGTAGAGTCCTTCAAGGGTCACTTTGGGCCTATTCATTGCGTGCGATTCTCTCCTGATGGTGAACTGTACGCATCTGGCAGCGAAGACGGCACTTTGAGGCTTTGGCAAACGACGGTCGGAAAAAATTATGGCTTGTGGAAGTGTTCGGATGCTCCCGAAGCCGGAGGATTAGGAGACGTGCTGCTGAAATCAGAGGCAATTGCGAGTTGAATTTTCTCGTTTCCGCGCATTTTGTGGAGTTTTTTCCCCCTCCATTTCGAAAGACAAAGAGTCCCCCCATTCTGAAGATGACATTCCTCGGGAAAAAAAAAAGAATTAAAGAGGAAGGATGAAGAAAAGTGGGCAGGAGAAGTGAGAACGTCAGTCCTAAAGTGATAACTTGCTGGGAAAAGTGGGAAGACGTTCCTCAGTCTCTTGAGTGGCCTAAGCTAGTTGTGGTCCTGGCATCTGCGTGCTTATTATTTTTTTAAAAGACACACTTTTTTTTTGGTTCGCGATTTCTTTTCTGTGGTCTTGAAAGGCGCGGTGCAGTGTTGTTTGTTTCTCTGTGTTGTGTTGCTTCTTGCTCTGGGTTGATCTGCGAGCTTTCTGATTCGGGAATGAAGCGCGTTCTAAAGAAAAAATGTGTTCGCTTTCTTTTTTTGTGGAGTGACAATCAAGCTTGTTCAAAGTTTCGAATAATGTATTTGTAATACAGATGCACCATCCTAAGTCATACTTCAAAGTATCTGCAGAAAATGTGACTTTCTAGAGTTTTCAAGTTGTGTAAATTTGCATTTTATAATTCAAGAATTGGAGAAGTACAGGAATTTGAAATTTGGGGTTTTCTGGGCTTTCAAAAATTAGATGACGGGTTTCAATGAGTTGACTGGATGATGAATAAATCACAGAGCAACAAATAATACAGTCTTAACCTCCAAGTCAAGGGTTCATTTACCCAATTTGTCACTCACTGATTTTGTGAAGCATCAAGTCATATTTTTATTGCTTTTCTCTTTCCTGTGTAGAGGAAGGAACTTTTCACCAGCAGTATACTGTATGTGCAAAACGTACCAACTTGACCATCATGTATCCGGTCAAGACAGTAAAGTGAAGTGAATGAGTGTATAGTCCTTCAAAACAGCAGATAATAACGAATAACCACTAATAACGTAGTTGAAAGTAATAATGAAGTGTCCTTGGACTAAATTGAGCAAAAAGCTGGCATTGGTATCAACTGTATGTCAATAAATTGAAGTGCATGCAACTTAACATTATTTCATCAAACATTTGATGCACGATCATTGTTGGCATTACTGTACAGTACTTAGTTTTGCTGACGCGTAGAATTATTGACGCGGGGTACAGTAGTGATTCGGATCTAAACGGCAGAAGTGAGCGACATCTGTACGTCGGACTTCAACTGAGTAATGGCTTGTTTGTGTCAGTTCAACGCGAATTCGTGAGAAGTGAGCAGTTTTAGGCAACTCCCGTCGATTTTGTTCACAATAATGCTGATATTTGTTCGATTTTCCTCGGAGAACCACTTGTAATGTGAATTTAAAAATGTGTAAAGTTTGGTGTTGTGTTTATTTTGGCAGAGTGAGAACATTTTCCATGATTTTTGGAAATGGGTGATTCTCCAACTTCGGATCATCGACGCCGCGTGTTTACGCCGATGTGTTTATTTTGATGGAAACTTACCCTATTTCTGAATTTTGGACGATCAGGTCGAATTCAATGAAGTCTTGGTCTTGAGATGAATAGCGATAAGGAATTAATTTTTTAGTAAGAAGAAAACTCTGGAATCTCGGTGATCACGGTTCTTTTGTTTATCAGTGAAGTCCTACTATAGTTTTCCGGGCTTTGAATGCTTCCACGTTGCTTCAAAATTTGAACAATGCTGTGACAAAGATGTTTGTTTGGAGTTTCAGACCGAGCTCGCGATGGGCAAGGGTTCTCTGAGCTTTCTATGGCCGTTCGGACTCCTCGGATTCTTCTTTGAGCTTTTTGTTGCTTCATTGGACGTAGTTGTGCTGAGTACAAAGTCGTGGTTCCTGTTTGTAGCTGCTATTTATCGCTATGTGTTCCCCCACAAGCGGAAATCAATCGCTGGAGAAATCGCTCTGGTGAGTCTGATTTCAAGCTTCTTTCTGAAGACGCGTGAAGTCAGTTTCGAATCGTTGCAGGTTTCCGGGGCTGGTCATGGCATGGGGCGTGAAATAGCTATAAAGCTCAGTGAACTTGGCGCAACAGTGATCTGTTGGGATATCAACAAGGTACTTGACACCATTCTGAGTTCGAATTGTTGGAATCCTGGTTTTTCCGGGAAGTCTTTTGGATTAGACTAGCAAATACCGATTAGTTAATACATTAGACTCGTTCGATTCAGAGATTCAGAAGACTTGTCTTAGAAGCAATTACTTCGTATCGTTTGAGTATATTCTTTACCTTTGGTATCTTTTCACGCCTCGGTGCAATGAAGTGTGATATTTCTTATAGGATGGACTCCAATTGACGCTGAACATGATCAGCAGAGTCGGTGGCCGTGGTTTAGGTGATCTCGTGGACGTGTCAAACTGTGAAGCTGTGAAAGCCGGAGCTGCGAGAATTCTGGAGAAAATAGGCCATGTTACCATTCTGGTTAACAATGCCGGGATTCTCTCTTCAAAACCATTCCTGTCTCATTCCCCGCGCGAAATCGAGCGCGTTTTCTCAGTCAATGTGTTCTCACATTTTTGGGTCAGTCGATTTTCAAATTTTTTTTTTCTTCGTGGTGTAATCGAAAAGTGTTTTGTAGACTTTGGAAGCTGTTCTTCCATCAATGGTTGCCAAGGGTCGTGGTCACATTGTTGCAATGTCGTCGATCGCTGGAGTTCAGGGCATTCCTTACCTCGTTGCTTACGGAGCTTCGAAATCAGCTGTTACTGGTGAGTAATTCCTCGAAATTCTTTAAATAATTCCTTTCTGTTGATTAAGAAATGGAAAGCAATTTTCGTCTCGCTTCGGAAATCCCCGATAAATTTGTGATTCAGTTTCCATTTGAGTGAACAAATCAACGAATTTTCCTGCGTGTTTCTGTGAAAATGTTACAGGTTTGATGGACGGCTTGTTAGAAGAGTTGCGTTACGATGACAAAACCAATCCGATCAAGTTGACTGTCGTACACCCATTCATCGTAAACACGGGACACATAAACAAGCCGAGGATCAGGTGAGCCCTGATTTCGTGGATTATTATTGTTGTTTTCCTTCTGCTTTTTCTTTTGCCTTGGGGTTCTGCTTTTTTTTTAACCACGTGCTGAATTCGAGGGGTACTTTATTCGAGATTCTCACAGAAGAATCCGCCTCCTAGGTTCAAGTTCCTGATGCCGGTGACTGAGCCGAGAGTCGCTGCTGATATGATCATTGATGGAGTGTTGAGGAACAAAGAATGGGTGTTTATTCCGTGGTGGATCGAGATCCTTTATCGGATGTCCAAGTGAGTTATTTGTTTTGTTCTAGAATTCTTTTGGTGACAAAAAAATTGCACGAACGAAATATGTCTTGAATCTACATGTGCTAAAAATAATTTTGACGTAATTTTTTGCATGCAATTGGAATGTTGCGTGTTCAGAACGTAAGTTTTCTTGAGTTACCAGAATGATTCTCTTGCGACTCTATTTCGAAAATAATCCTCCGAGAATCAGTCAAGACGATTTTCGATCTACTGTATTGCATTTTTTCGCAGGATCTGGCCCAGAAACGTGCACAGGCTCATCCTGGATTTCCTGGACGCCGGAGTTTCAAAGCAGTGAAAGTTACCGTGACAAATGGTTGTCTTTTTTTTTTTCTTTGTAGTGCCAGTTTCGGGAAGCATTTTGATTGTAAAGGAATTGGGAGGGACAAGGGGGTGGATCTTGTAAAGTCGTGGCACAAAAGGATATTAGAATGGTTCGTTTTGATTTTCTACTCGGCCACTGAAGCGACAGTTTTTACGGTGATTATCGCCCATGCTGTGAATGAATTTGGAACAAATTGGAATGTCCAGTGCGAATTTATTTTATTTTCTGTCGGGAAGTCGAAAGATCATTTGTAATTTTCTTCGTCTCTTTTTTAAAGGGTTGAAGCCGAAAAGGGGAGAAAAGTGCAAAAAGAAAAAAAAAGTGGTGAGAGAGGTGATGGCGGCAATTGGACGTGCGCGAAAATTTCGCATCGGCGTTCTTCGTTACTCCGACCGTGAAATTTGCTCATTGTCTTGAAGATACTCTCCTGATTTTACCCTCATTTTATACTAATGGATTCTGTGCTGTGGAGCGACGAGGACTTTTCCGAGTCTTCGGAAGATCCTACCTCACCTGAGGTGCAGTATATTTTTCCTGTCCCGATTTTTCTTTTTTAGAAATTATTTTGTGAAGAATTTGTGTAAACGTGTTTCCAGAAAAGAGAAGCCGAGTTGGAGAGATTCAGGAGAGAATGGAAAGGAGAAATTGCGGTTTCTCGAGGAGTTTCAGCCAGAGCTTCTACCACCAAACAAGACCTTGTGAGTTATCTTATGATACGATGATTGAATATGGAGAAGGGAAGGAATATTAGAACTTTTCTAGATTTAATGAGCGTGAAATTCTGGACTAGACTGTGAATGATCATTAAATTTAAGTCTGTTTCTGAAAAGGTCGATTTTGTAACTTTGGCTATTTATTGTTCAAGACTTTTCGATGTACAGGCATGAGAAAGATTATAATGTACCCTATTCAGAATAAGGAAAATAATTTAAAATTTTTGGAATGTCTGGACAAATTCTGAAAGTACTCCAGAAAAAGTGAGGTATCTGAAAAAAATGAATGTTGCAAACCAAGAAAATTGTGGTGTAAATGAATATTTTCTTGTGTTTTTAAGTCAACTTTGGAAAGATTTTTCTCGTGTGGAACTGAGACAACTATTTTTCGTAATAATTTCCTTGAACTTTTTCAATTATTTATTTAAATGTTGAAATTATTTCTGCAGGAAGATTGAATGTCTGGTAAATGAAGATTACTTTGGCTAATGAAAATCAGTAGCATTTTGTGCAAAGCCTTTCTTCGAACACACAATATCTTGCCAAATTGTTTGCCACTAAGATTTTATTTTTATTACCAAGACTCTTTATTTTCAATGAAATGGGTATTTATTTTTATATGAATTCCTTACATTGAAGTGGGTAAACGCATAACGAAATTAATCCTTTCCTGGATGGGTTTCGTTATGAGGAATTTTCGTAGTGCCAAACGCATTTTCCCTCGAGGAAACTCCGGAGACTCGCCCGGGAAAATGTAATCTTTTTCGTTCAATCTCAATTCAATTCGAGGTTTTCAGAATGAAATTGTGAACTTGAAATTAACAAGTATTACATTCAAGTAATATTGGCATCGTTGTTTGAGGCGAAGTCTTTTTTTGTTGTTTTTTGCATTCTCTTGAGGAAATTATCGAAGCTAAGATTAAAACATGCTAAACTTGAATTTTTTTCGTGCCAAATCTTCGTTGTGTGAAACGTTTTTGTTTTATAAAATTTTTCCTGCTACGAAATTTCTCTTGCTCACATTTTTCGTCGTGCGTTGTTTTCCTTCTCGTGAGAAAGTGAAAGTTTATAAGTGAAATTGAGGTGCTCAAGAACTCCATATTTTATCCTTGATTTTAAAAATCTCTTCATTTTCGAAACAGCATTATTATTATTTTTTAATTATGGGCCTTCATTTTTGGAAATTTTTTTTTTTTTCGTAAACAAAACAGGCTGCGGAATTGTTTGAAAAGGGCGCGAACGAAGAACGACACGGAAGAATGTACGAGGCCATCAAGTTCTACAGGGACGCCGTTCATCTCGTGCCGGACATTGAGCAGAAAATGGCCCAATCGGCAGCCTGGGCCAAGCCGGACAAACCCGAAGATTCCCAGGCGTCTTCAGCGTCTGCCAGCAGATCCGCCCTGGACAACCTTTTGCACGCATTCGAGCAAGTGCATCTCTTGGACGGCGACGCGATGGGAGAAGAATTGGGTGTTTGGCAAGTGTGTCGTCGGGAAAAGGAAGTTCCGGGGGGTCACATGTCGGATTGTCCGCCGGAAGTGGTGGCGTTGATTCTGAGATGGGTCGTGTCTCGGGACCTGGATGTGAGGTCGCTGGATGTCCTGGGAGAGGTTTGTCGTGGGTTTTACCAGGCTGCGAGGGACCCGGAGATTTGGAGGCGGATTTGTCACAGGTATTTTAAGTACTTTTTTCAGCATTGTGCCTTTTTTTTTCTTTACATCTTCGGAATTAACTCACGTTAGGTCTCTAGAAAAAAGTAATTTTTTGTTGTAGTAACAAAGCGTGATGTATCCTTTTTTTAAATGTGCAAAAGTATGTTCAGTAAATGTGAATGTTGAAAAGCAGATTCGCGAAGGTTTGAGCTGGAAATAAAATAAGTTCGATGAAATATAATCACAGTAAGTGATTTTTTTTTTCAGAATATGAACGCAGAAACGACGTTGTGAAGGTTTTCTCTCCTGCCTCTTCATTAAATTTGCGCAACGAATTCATTATTTCTTGAGAAAGGGGTTTTTTTTGGCTACCATGAGTGATTTTGCTGTAGGAAAAGTTGATTTTGAGTTTAGTTGGGGAAGACGTGTAATATTGTAGTGTGTGAAGTAAATTTTAATATTTATAAACAGATTCCCCGATGCTTTTTCGCTTTAGCCGAAAAGAAACAACAATTTATCGCATGAACCAATTCGATGAAATGAAATTGCAAAATGAGCTTCTCGGAATACTAACTCAGAAATGATGCTTTGTAAGTTTTCCCCCTAGTCTCTACACTAAATTTGTGCAATGAAGTCGCATTATTTAGTCGTGAAAGGGTTTTTTCTTGAAAAAAAAAATTTGATTTTGCATTGGAATGATTTTTTAGAAATTTTAATTTTCCTAGCAAAAAGTGTGCAGAAGTACATAATGTTCTGTAAATTTTAATATTTATGACCAGATTCCCGAAAATTTTTAAAAAGTGGTTCGTTTGTTCGCTTTAGCCGAAAACAGGCAATTTATCGCACAATTGAATGTGATTAAATAACATTTGAAAAAAATTATATTTTTGAAATGTGAACTCGGAAATCACGTGACCCTGTCTTTTTCCTCTGGTTTTCTGAATGAAATTGGTCGGATTTTGAAAAATGAGATACGATAAGAATCTTTGGCTTGTAATTCCAAGTTTGTTAGTAGATGTCGCTCGTTTCCGGAACAACGCATTCCCTCTTGTCCTAAAAATGTTGCCCATTGGTTTTTATAGAAAATTTGATTTTTTTAAATGATACGAAATTCCTGATTTTCATCGCAGTGATGAAAATGACAAGTCAGAGCCTCTCTTTATTTTTCGACTTAAAATTTCAACGGGGGTCTAGAATTGATGAAGCAGGACTTTTTGAAAAGTTAAATCCCTCCTCATGCATTTCACGAAGAAAAGCAACTTTATGCGAGACTGAAAAGAAAAATATAATTGATTAATTCGTGACCTCTACTTCTCTCTCTCTTTTTTAAAGGGTGTTCGGAGCGTCGTGTGCGTCGCCTGAAGACCTCGGCTTTCTGTCGTGGAGAGACATGTTTTTCGAGCTCCCACACCCTTATTTCCACGGGTGCTACATCAACAGAGTGTCTTACATACGCCACGGGGAGAATTCCTTTCAGGACCGATTTTACAGGCCTTGGTACGAGGTCAAGTATTACAGGTTCCTCAGGTTCTTTCCGGAAGGCCGGTGCTTGATGATGAATACCCCGGATGAGCCGCAACATGTGGGTTTTCTGTTCTTTAAAAAAAATTATTTAAATAAACTTTCGTGGAGTGCTTTGAAAAAGGCAGAAAAATGAAGCGGCCAATTTCGTTTTTTTTTGCTGTGATTTTTTAAAGCTTCGTATGAGATGCTGTATTTCAGAAATTGTCTCTTTTCCGAAATTAATGAACATATTGAAAATTATTTCCCCAAATTACAAAGACCACGGAGGTGTGAAGGAATGCTTGACTTTTGGGGGAAGTGCAGTACAGTACTTCCTTAGTACCAAAGTTACTTTTGTTTAATATCATTTTTTCATGATCAGCGCATTATCATAAAATTTGAAACTCAGAGTGTTCAACGTTAAGAGAAGTTTTTTGGAAAATGTTCTATGAAATTTTTTTTAGAAGAGAGTTGGAGATTTTTGTAAATATTTCCTATTTTTATCATTTGTTGCAGAAGCTCTTCACAGTATTTACTTCTCAAATTTCCCGCAAACTTTCAGTCCGAAATTCATTCAAAACCATGAGTAATTTTTCCCCCAGGTCCTTGTAACAGGATTTTTCTGTATTTTGAACAGGAAACGTATCAGAATCCGAATATTGAGTGGAGTTCAGTTCAATTCACATTGGTTTTAAATTGTTTTCATTGGGATCAAACGTTATTAAAATTGAACTTAGAAGAGAAAACTAAAAGAAACTGAAACTTTTAAAAATTGTATACCTGCGTATGACGTACCCTCTCTTTTTTTTCCTGTTCATTACCAGAAACATTTTTGTATGATGCTTGATTCTTTTAAATACTGTATTTAAAATTGTATACTGTACCAGATTCTGAGCAGTTGAATTCTCTGGGATCATAAATAAGCTTATGTATTTTCAGGAGACATTCTTGTGATTGCGCTTTGCAAAATGTTTTTTTTTTTTTTCGTTTCAGGCGTTGCATCACATGAAAAGCAGGAATCCCAGGTTGGGAACAGTGTTGGCAGGTCATTACAGGTTGCACGGAGATACTGTCGTGGCCACGCTCAAGAGGGTTTCTGAAGCCGGTGCTCTTAATTCTGCCCTCGTGAAGCAAATAAACAGGGCCAGGAGAAACCGAGTAGCTGAAGAACGGACGGAAAGAACATTCTACCTGGTTTGTTCATTTGTTTCAATATTTACCACTTTTTTTTTTTCCAAGAAAAAAAAGAAAACGAAGAATAATCAAGCCCAAGACATGGACTAAGTTTTCTGGTGCTGTTTCTAGTCGATTAAAAAATGTAAATTAAAAAAATCAAGCCCAACACCTGAAAGAATTATTTTGTCTTTGTTTCTGGTCGATTTTTATTTTTTTTGGGTGAACCTTGTTGTTGAACAAGCATTTCTTTTTTGCCTCTGTAGGAGCTTCAGATGAGATCCGTGAGAGGGAGGAAGAACATGGAAGTGGCGTGGACTCGTTACTCAGTTCTGACGTATCATCCGGAGAGGGGGACTGGTTCCACGACGGAATTCGAGATGTCGCTCGCGAATTTCCCGCCGTCTCGTTTCGCCAGAGTTCGCTCCTTTGCCGCCGTGGCGGACCAGCCATTGGACGACGCAGCCACGTGCTCGGAGTTCCGACGCTTTTCCCGCTAGTTTTTAATATGCCTCCTGTTGCCTTTTTTTTGTCGAGATAGGGTGACGACACGGGGGTTGGTGTTTTGTGCTGTGACGACGAGAATAAGAGATTGAGAGAGGGGCGGAATTTATTTTTTATTTTTCGACATGGCCTTTGTGTATAGTTATGACGCCATTGTTTTTGTTTGCGATTTTGCAGGAACATGTGACGTTCGTTCATGTGCTGAGTGTTCTTTTTTTTCCTTGGTGGACCCGGTTTCCGTCGAGTTTCTGTGGCACGATGGTGAGTTTTGTTTCTTTTCATTTGTTAGAAGGTGACTTGTAGTTCAGTAAAATCTCTTGAAGACGACCTCGTAGGGACCTGCGAAAAAATTGTAATATATTTTTGAAAACTGTAAAATCAGAGTTCTTGAAGCATTTAGGACTGACGTTTTGTGGGAAATTTGTAGTCATTGCTTGAAGTGATTCTAAAAACATTTTTGAAGGGCTTTCATAATTTCCAATTTTTTGATGAATTACTGTAATTCAGAAAAATTAATGATATGAAATACAATCAACTATTTTTATGCCTTCCCTCTCTTAAATTTCCTTATTGCGTACTGAGCTTACTGAAATTCGTATGCGCCGAAAGCAAAAAAAATACATGTGTAGAAAGAATATTCACGCCTCAGGAATTTGTTATTGGAAGCAGAGCAGTATATATTTTTCAAGCACACTGTTTTTGAAAAATTAAAAATAATCCCTTTCTAAATTCTAAAATAAAGGAAAATAAGAGCTTTGTTAATACATATAAATTAAATAAATTGATTGTATAGATATTGATAATACTTTGATTAGGCATTTCATACTTATGTAGAACGAAATTTTCTGCCTAAAATTAGCTTTTCCATTCTTTGATGATTTTTAATGATGCGCGCCAGGCAGATTTTGCATTTTTTTCAGTTATTCAAAATTTGTTCGCCCCATCCACACATTATCAGAAAGAAAAGTTTTTTATACTTTACTGAGATCATTGTTTAGATTTACTCTGATGAATCGACATTTTTATAATACTGTAATTTTTATGAGGAAAAATTGAAATTGTCGGGGTCAAGAAGAAAATTCGTTGTAATGGAATTTCTTAACGTTGCTTTTAGTATTTATGTTGCCTTGCATATATATATATATTTGCCTGAGAATGTACGTTTGCTTTTATGGGTTTCAGATGCAGTTTATGCTCTTGTTCAGCCGCCAAGGAAAGTTGCGGCTGCAAAAGTGGTATGTTGCCTATCAGGACAAGATGAAGAAGAAGGTGGCGCGTGAGTTGACAACTGCCATTCTCACCCGCAAGCCAAAAATGTGTTCCTTTTTGGAGTGGAAGGATTTGAAGATTGTTTACAAACGGTAATTTTCAGTATTGTCGTGATTCTTTCCTCTTTTCTTTGGGCTCACCAAAGTATTTTTTTGTTTTGTTCCAGTTATGCGAGTTTATATTTTTGCTGTGCTGTGGAGGAGGACGACAACGAGCTTCTGACGTTGGAGATCATCCACAGATATGTGGAGCTCTTGGATAAATACTTCGGCTCTGTGAGTTGAGCCTTTTTTACTACACCTGAAGCCGCCCCCTCCCAGTCAAATTTCAAGAAGTTAGGGAAAACATCAAATTTTGGAATACGGCCTTATTTGCGTAGATTAATTATTTTAGCTTCCAATAATTTTACCCAAAAGTTATATCTTAAGATTAAAAAATACTGAATAATTTTTCCTACCTTCAGAAAGTTCAAAGTAATAATTGAATTAATCATGCCAAATTTCGTAGCACAAGGGTTATGGTAAATTTGACGTTGAGGTTAGAGCCGAACATAAATTTTAGAGTTGGGGAGAATTTTAGTGCATTATTCTTGAGAGAATTTGACGGGGTTTTTTTGAAAATTGTTGATTTTGTTGAAACCGTAATTTTTTTTTTCAAAATTGCACAATTAATTATCATTGTTTTTATAAATATAAAACGTGCACTTAAATTCCGCTCAAGGGAACGAATAGAGGATTTATTTGTTACTGGCAATTTACCGGTAGTTTAAATTTAATAAAGATTCATTGTCCATCTATTTTTTGAATTGTCGAATTCAAAACCCTGGATTTCGTAGCAATTGTGGATTTCGTAGATTCTGGGGGTATGGTTTTATTAATGTAAAGTGTGGAGTAGAAATATTTGTGTAGGCTAATTATGGTCGTAGATGTCATTTTCCGTGAATTGAGTTGTGGGATTCAAGTACTGAAATTGATGTTTTTGTTTGCTTGCAGGTGTGCGAGTTGGATATAATTTTCAACTTCGAAAAGGCGTACTTCATCCTGGACGAGTTGTTGGTGGGCGGAGAGATTCAGGAGACGTCCAAGAAGAGTGTGCTGAAGGCAATTGCAGCTGAGGACATGTTGCAAGAGGTTTGTGGTTTTTCTTATTTTGGTGGGTGGGTAACAGTGAGCCAAACAAGTAGTGCCGAATGTTGGGCCACCATTTTTATGGGCGCCAAATTGTGCCGGATTATTGATTATTTACCATCCTCCAACTAAATGTAAAGTGTAATAAGTAAAAGTATTAAAAAGAATATTCATTGAATAGATTTCCAAATGATGAGCATAAATTTTATTCATCGCAGAGAAACTTGGTCCATGAAGAAATCTTCAGTATTGCCCTTTATTTGAATGAAGTAGGATGGTAGACCTGGGTCCGGCACAATTTGATAGGGTCCAACATTCGGCTCACTGGAAAGAAGAGTATGGATTAATTGAATTTTGCTCATATATATCATATCCCACATTTTATTATTAGCATTGTGCAGTATTAATATTATTATTTCAATGGTATAGTATATTCATTATGCTATATTATTTTTATGTATATTATTATATGCTATTTTTATTTTGGTTAGTAGTAGTAATGGAATGGTTAGTTTTTAATATTACCATTGCAAAAGTGATATTAATCAATAGTTACTATCATTTAGTTCTATTTAATAAAAATTATTATTGAATTATATAAATATTGATTTGCTCATTTATTCCAGTGAGCCAAACAAATGGAGCCGAATGTCGGAACGTGCCAAATTATGCCAGACCCAAGTCTACCATCCTCCTTCATCAAAATGATTGACCTTGCGATAAATAAATTGTCACTATTTTTTTGCGAAATTACATCAAAATCATTTTCGTATTGGCCTCTAACCCACCCACTCAAGATGATGGTAGACCCGCGATCTGGCACATGAAAGCGGCCATCGAGATGGCGTCCGACATCCGGCACCATTTGTTTGGCTCACTGTTTCCCACCCAAAACAGTTCCATCCCATCCGCTGAAAAAAAAAAGAAGAGAAAAAAATGTATTCATTCGTTTCCGAGGACAGCCAAGAAAAGCAACAATAATAAAAATTTATTTTTTTGAACAAATAAATATTTTTTTCTTTTTAGCATTTCAGTTAGGTTCAGAATTTTGATCGAGTAAGTATACTTTTAGCATTCTTTCTTCCATCGCAACTACTAAAAGTTGTGAGAGAACTTCGTTGCATGAATGCCCTTCCACATCAAAATTATCATTTCTCGAATTTCGACTGGTCTTAGTAGTGTACACCGTAGTGAAATTTCACCTACTTACTTAAAATTAAGGATCCGTAGTGTTTCTTATCCTGTCATGTCGTCCTTCGTGTGCATCACAGGAGGAGGCTTTAGAAAGCGCTCTGAGAGACGTAGGTCTTGTCTGAACAAGTGGAGGACACCAACTTCAGCAAGCAGTCCCACCATCCTTTTCCACGGAGGATATTTTGTTGCGCACTTATGTATATATTTTGAATAGTGCTATTTCTTCAATATGTGCCTTGAATATGAAGAAATGGCTTTCAGGAAATCAGCATTCCGTGGCTCAGTGTCTCCATCAGAGTGATGCAGAATTTTGGCGATATTTTGACTGAGGGATAGAACAAAAATGAGATATGGATATGGAAAAGAAGAAAAAAAAACTGAGGTTTTCTTTACTTGCCTTGTTTTTCATTGATGATGATGATGATGAATATTTCTTTGCATTAATGGTACACTTCAGGGAAGCAACTCGTGTTTTCTGCTTTCTGTGCAGGAAGAAACGCCTCAGGGACTGTTGGAGGATTACACGTTGGGCTGAGTCCGGAAGCCACGATTTGTTCCGATTCCACTACCACTGTACTGCCTATCCATGGATTCCATTCCTTCTCCATATTCTTGGCATTCCATCATGAGTGATTGATGTGTTGAAGGCATCTGCAAGCAAACCGGATGCGATTAAAAATGCACGTTTTAGAATCATTTTTCAGTCAATCAAATATTTTATTATTACCCGTACTGGAACACAACATCTTTATTAACTTTTCTCCACTTGGAACTAAGTACTGTACTGTATTTGGTATCATTTCGATTCGAACTTCTGTTTGTTTCTTATTCAAGATATGTTCAAGTTAAGTTCGATAATAAGGACGACTCTGTTTTGCAGTACTGTATAAAATAATTTTGTAATTGATCTTCCTTGTATTGAGTCAACTTGTCCTCTTTGGTGACACTTTAAAGACGATGGTCCGGAAGAATTTGGATCGCTTTAAATCATGATGTATCACCAATTTTATTGTATTACCCTGATTATTTAGGACTCCAATAACAGTTCAACTCAATCCTTTAGAAAATGCCGCACTCAAAAACTGAACTTGGTTTTGCTGAGATTACAGGCTTGTAATTGATTTTTCCAAAGTTGAAAAATCAAGCTCAGTGAATTTAGTTGAAGACCAAAAAAAAAAACTTTGTAGCATATTGTTGGTGACAGACAATTATAATTAACATTTTCTTTTGAAATTTGAAAATCTTGTGAACTGAGAGTGTATGAAAAGATCAGTAATCGGAGATTGAAGTTCCTTAAAATATAGTGAAGCAAGAATTTCTCAAGAATTCAGTAGACCGTGAGATGTTGTGACATCTGATGGAGAGAGGAAAACCTTCATCGCTGATTTAAAATAGTCACTAGATGGTGCTCCTGATAGACTCGTGCCAATGGTAAAACTAACAAGTTAAATATGGGAATGCTGATTATGCGTCAATTAAAAACGACGTACTGTACCTCCGTTTTTGAATGCGTAAATCACGTCTTCCTGCTGCCGTGATGTGTCATGCCTGAGAATCCGCAGTCTTATTCTGCTAGTCCAGCATATGAAGGCTGCCTCAATAACAAACACCCGCACCTGTAAAGATAAGAAATACAGTACTTTAAATAGAAGCTCGTTTGAATACATGTGATGGATGAATTGTCATGTAGAAGGGATCACATACAAATGAACTGCAGCCATACAGTACAGTACTGTACAATCTTTGGAAACACAGCAGAAGCCAAAAAATGATATCAAGGTTCTTGAAAGCACGAATTTGAAGCAATTGAAAACGGTCTGGAATTTTCAATTTTTCATATGTATATATACATATCATGAAAATAAGTACAGTAGCCGCAAAAAAACCTACAGCAAACCATATTTGGCACACGACGTCAGCATCGGCGAGAAAATTGCCAGCGAAGGGTCGGTTACCATGCTAGAATTCCTATACTGTATATATACAGTATAGTGTACGTGAGATATCATACTCTCCACGAGGGAGTGACGCTCCACGCTGGGAGTGTGGAGTGGAGTACCAGAGTACGCGCGAGGGGCGTTCAATAAATGTTTCAAACCTTGGGCATTGCATTGACATCCACCCTGGGATATTCCCGAAGAATCCGTCATCACTGCTGTTCAATACCGAAAAGTAAATTGTCATCATCTGTTTATTACTGTACTGTACATGATAAGGAACTGCACAAGTCAAACTCAATTTTCGAGCCAATTTCCCCACTTTTTATGGGTTATCCAACTCATCTCCGGGAATACCAGAATAATACAGACATTCAGTATACTGTATCCATAATCCAGAACTCAACAAATGTCAGTCCTGTTCATATTTTTAAACATTATTTGTCTAAGTAGGATGGCTGTTGCTATTGCTTCTTCTGTAATCGTACAGTACTTGAATAAGGATGGGGTGAGATCATCATATAATTGACATCATCAGCAAATTTGTCATGAAGAATTATTATTTAAATAAAGAAATCCTTTTTAGGTGCATATATAAAAACAATGATATGGTCACAATTATGTAATTTGGATGATAAGTATTTACTGTATAACGAATGTTTTGTCACTATGCAAATAAAAATTCAGTAGTCGCAGCAAAGCTGATGGCTACCTACAATATTCTGTAACGCGCATTCACTGTACTGCAAATACTCGAGTTGGAAAATATGAATATAACTGTTTGATCCTGAAATACCATTATAAAAACGTGTTCACCCAAATATACAATACACTCAATTTGATTTTCAAACAAACAAGCATGTCGAGATTCAAATTAACGGGATATTATTGCGCGCATCGAGTAAATTTTTTTCTCAGCAATTACGCAGACTTTTGAGAGAGCCTTAGAGACAGTATATATAGCGTATGATTGGTACAGTACTGTATTCATCACGTGCAGCAGCAGCAGCAGCAGCAGCACAATACCGTACAGTAACTTACGCGTATGTACATACCCATGCACAGCCCCAACGAATGAGCACCCACCCAATGCCCGGTAACCCCACCCCCCATCATCCCCACCACCACCACCACCACCACCACAACCACCTGCTGCAACAGCCTCGAAACGCCAAGAACTCGGAGCCGCGCGTGGGTCTGGATTTCACTCGCGGATAAGCGCACCCCGCTCAGTCTCGCAGTACCCTCGCCGCGGTACTCGGCGCGAAACATGCACACCCACGCGCGCCGAAACCGAGTACTCAGTACTGAGTACTCGCCCAGTAGTACCCAGGCAGTCTACGACCAAGTACTGAGTTACCTATCTCACATCTATAGGGATGCAATGCAGCAAGGGACTTATAGTACTGCGTGTATATAAAAAATCCGCAGCATACTGTATATATATTCAGTACCCTCTTCATTGGAACGTGAGTACCGCTGCGTCTGGGGCGACACCTGCGCTTCAAGACGAGAACTTTTGACGTGCCGATACTTATGGCGTCTAACGGAAGATGTCAGTAAACACAGACCGACTACAGTACAATACTGTACTGCATAGCTACAGCAAAACCCTCGAATATTTTCTTCAATTCATACAATTTAAAAAGTGTCATGATTGCACACGCGAAATTGAAACAGGAAATAAAAAAAAATCAGGGAATTAACATGCTTTTTTATTGCTTATAATGTGCTGTATAAGATTTGCAAAATCGTCTGAATACAGTAGAGGGTGCAACAAATGGCAGCAGTATTTTAGTACTGTATAACACTATATGGAATTTTATCGCAGCACTTTCTTCACAAATTAAATGGTCATCAGAGTGACACATACAGTGCAATGTGAGCTGATGGTGAATACTTTAAGTCACAGCATGTAATTGCATAACTTTTGTACACATGAGCTTTGTAATGAGCGAATAAGCCTTCAATACGTCAAATATACAGTGTAGCAAAATTGTGAAATTCGATCTTGCTGTCATACCAACACGGCCAATTTTGTAGATTTTTTTTTTAATTCCACGTCATTTATTCCAGAAAATCTAAATTTTTAAACCCCATCATAACAAAATATGGTGCCAATCATAATTGCTTCCTTTATTCCACAAAGCTAAATGAAACAACCATCATTGTATCCATACAATTATTGTGTGTCCTGTTGAAAAAAGCAAAAGAAACTGCTAAAAAATAATCATCTTAATTGATGGAATAAAATTTCAAGATCAACAGTTTGTTCCTATATTTTCTTTCAAAAACAAAGAAAACAGCGCACAGAGTGAAAGACACACTGATTTAATCAGCATTTCTGATTAAATAATGGTATGGTTGGTAATAAACTTTCTGTTAGACAAAACTGTCAGTATTTATTTAAGACTGACCAGCTCTCCTAAAATTACATATTTAGAATAAAAATTCAAAGAAGGCTAGGTGAAACTGAGTTAGAATACCATGCTGTACTTGTTGATCATTACTTTCAAAATACATTTTCCAAGTGCCGTAGCAGGTTTTTCAACAACAATTGAAAATTGTAATATATTGAAATACTGCAGAGAAATTTGAAGCAGATCAGGACAAGAGAAGAGCTTTCAAAATAATTATTCTCATTATTTCACCAAAAAAGTTTAAAATGATGACCATTCCCCAATACTGTATATGGGAAGCTGAATGCATGAATAATAAGCGCATCAAATTATTCATCAACGGTTTCCCGTAGAATTTAATTCTAAATGTTCTAAAAACCACGAATCTCAGCGTAACGCATTAAAAAATTATGGCATCAAAAACTATCTGCTTGTGGGAAATTCTGTTGTAAAAAATAGTACTGTACCAAAAGTCATTCTGTATAGTCACTTATTCAAGCTTGTATGATTCCTTTCCGTTTTAGTATTCCATAAACGAATGTTAAAACGGCGGAAGTCCCGCTGTAAGAGTACATTACAAGCAGTATTGCTGAAACAGTACTGTATACTGATGGTGAAACGTCATATGCTGCAACGACGAACGAGTGGTACTGAAGATGACTCAATAGCGACGTCAGTCAGGAGCGACACCTACGCTCCCGTATAAAAACAAATAAAATCACTCGTTGATCTTCCTGTTGCTTGGTGTCCGCTCTATCGCCTCACAACGGAAAGTTTCGCCTTGACTCGAACTCAAGTCTCAACCGACTTATTATACTGTACGTGCCCGGGCCCGAGACCATCAATCACTCGAACTGCATACAGTATATAGAAGCTAGCGCAAGCAACATCAGTTGGTGGTTGCCATGCAGGCAAAAAGGAAAGCGACCTAGCTGACCTTGCTTGGCGGGCAAAAGAGAGGAAGAGAGAGAGAAACAAATCAGACTTCGTCGGTGCATGCACCAGCAGCAGCAGCAGCAGGAGTTGCGCAATGGAGGAAGTCGACATTGGGAACCAGCGCGTGCCTGAGACGTCAGTCACTTATACTTCCATCCGAATTTCAAGCTGTCCCTATACGTAAACATGCGTAAACACGCAAAACAAAAACCCTGCGTTGGAGGCCGAATTTGATTCGAAGAAGAACGTAAAAATAAAAACCGCGCGGCCCCAGGATTGGAACTGGTAACCCTTGAATCTTTGCCCACATCCAAATGAAAGTCACCACAGGAAAGGCTATTATTACAGGTGGTACCAATTGGAAATTACTGACCCTATAATCCCTTGCTGGACTATTAGTGTCAATTGCAAAGCAATTAAATTGTGAGACACTTTGTAAAATTAAGAAATATGAGCACAAAAATGCAAAAAAAAGGAGCCAAAGCAGGTCAAATTTTGGGACAGAGGTAAAATTGCAAGTCAACCTCCTTACAAATTTGACCATCAAATTATGGGACAGTAAAATTGCAGGAGGTCAAATTGGAAGGTGCCACCTGTACTACAATAATGATTTGGAATAAAGAAACAAATGCTACAATTCTATGAGACAGAAATACTATCATGGCTAATATGCACTTCAGGAAATAACCTCAGAAATAAATCCTGATCAAAATTAATTCTTGAAAACAAATTTTATATTGAAATAATGTTATGTGTCTTCAAATGCATATAAATCTGACCTTGGACAGAAAATGAAAAAAAACAATACATGGGCTTCTATGGAAATCATTTCTAGGTAGATGTCACTGGAATCTATCATCCAGGTACAGTATTAAATCATACACAAAACAATATTGGTAAGGTTTAAAAAAAAGTCTAAAAAAATGAGGAATTATTCCTTAATCATCAAGTTACTGTAAGCTCATATTTGAGTGCAATGCAGATACATTTTAATTTTATTTCATGTTTTTATGCAATATGATTCCTGCGTGATTATTCAAAAACCCTAATAAATGTTTATAAAGTTGCCAAAGAATATAAGCAGAGAAGTTCATCAGAAGGCCATAAAATCATACACTTAAAAATCAAATTCATGTCTGAAGAAATGTACTGTATTCTTCATTGACTTTCATATTTGTTTACCATACATGGTCCCATTCATCTAATAGATTGCTATTCTCATATTTTGTTAAGTCGGTCATTCATGAAAATCATAAACAAAAAGGGGAACACAGTACAGTAGTGTACTGCATGTACAGTACATAGCATTTTCTTTCTTTTTAATGGTTACAATTGAATTCAAAACAGAGGAGAAAAATGGACTTCTTTGGATGTACAGTATAGTACTGCACTTATCTTTCAAAATAAAAAATGAACTTACACACAACAGCCAAGGATGATGAAGTGCATAGTTGAAAGAAAAATTAACAATCCAGAAAAATATTCTCTTTTTGAGTAACGTTTGTCAGGAGGTCGCCGACTATAAAATGTTTAATGGGTTTTCCATGTAAGAAACTTGAACAGCATATTCTAACTATGGAGCATCTGTCAGAAACAGACAGAAATTTAATTGGAATTATATAAAACCAATCTATAAAAAAAATATGACCATGACCAGGATTCGATCTCGCGCCCTACAGATCACGTCGAGTGCAGCGGACTCCTGCGCTCTGTGAGCTGCTCTTAGTCCTCTTACACACATAAAAAAAAAAAAAAGAACGCGGAAATCGTATCGCTGCTCTTCGTCAACCGATTTCCGGCCGCGATTCCACGTAACTTCCACGTGTAATGTGTGCATCACTACGTCATCATCATCATCATCATCATGCTTTTATCTCTTTCACTCATACATCTTTTCTGGCTCATCCCGCTTGATATATACAGTATTAGACGGTATGGATGGTGCCACTGCGTGACTGAGGAACACCAATGAGAAATAAGGAAACCGAACCTTTACTATATGCATCTCTTGTATACAAGCATATATACAGTATAGATACGCTCCATATGTAGTAAAGTGGCGTTGACTCAGCAGAATTTCATGTTTTCAGTTCACACATCTCCCCCCATTGCTGCAGCATTATTATCTACATATCTCAAAATGTAGAAGAAGAAGAAGGAGGAGGAGAAATATAAAGGATTAAGGGCTTTTTCAAGAGGAGTTTTCTGAGATATATTGCACAAAAGGTGTCATTGCTGCCAAATATGGAAATGAAGAAGAAGTTACTACTCTAACAAGTAATAGAGCGTCCGCAGTGCAGAAAAAAAGGAAAAAAAATGAAAAAATGATTGCAGGAGTGGGATTCAAACCCACACCTGCAGAACCACACTGTAACCCGAACACAGCGCCTTAGACCACTCAGCCATCCTGACAACTTAATGTTAATTGATGCATTTTAAAGTAGTCAAATTAATTCAAGGTGCAAAAGGCCACAGACACACGTTACACGACGTCCTTATTATTCCCCCCCAGACCCCTGTAGGATCCTACTGGTCGTTCCTCCCACTGCGGACGTTAAAAGGAAATTACTGCACAAGCACAGTAATTAAGAAAACAGTAGCAACCAATGATCCAAACAGAAATAGCTTTAGCAGAAATTGTGCTAATGTATTAAATTGTCCAGTTGAAATTTAAATTTTGAGTGAAAACGTCAATTATATCTTTGATTTGCAAGAAAATTCTCAAAAATTGAAATCAACTGTAGAAGAACAAATTTCTTCTTTCAGCATCATTTGACCTATATAAGTTTCTTTTCATATGCATCCCTTAACTTATAAAAGCACTCTTTTTGAAAGGCCTGAACATTCTTAATTTCCTCACCATACCCAAACTTTTGAATAAATATTGTAAATTCTTTGAGAACTTTCCCAAGATAATTTAGACAAATTTCAATATGAAGACTAATGAAAGATAGCCAAATTCTGTGTGTTAGACCAAATGTTCTTTATACCTTAGTCCTGCAATGCACAATACCTGCATACAGTATATCACTGATACACAAAATTACTGTTCATCAAAATTTGTTTCATGAGCAAAGCAATTAGCTTCAGCTTGAAGAATAACCCAGGCAACATTTAAATCATAAATCAAACACATCATATGAGACATTCCCTAAAGAACTGTCAGAATTGCCTGAAGATACCCAAAGTAAATTGAACACCAATGAATCAGCATACACTATCTCATCCACCTCTTTTACCCATTCATCCTGAAACACATTACACATACAGTACATGAAATCAATTCCCACAAAAAAAAACAAGCTTGACTTTCTTGGGCAACAGCACCTGGCATTTTTCTTCTGAATGCTTCAAACATTCCTCTGACATGTTATGCCTGACTAACATGAATAACTTTATAATCCATCAGGGGAGATAGAAAAAAAAATCTTCCCTGCATGGGATTCGAACTCGCTTCCTCTGGTCTGCATCCCACCCTTCTTTTAAAAATATGAATCACTGCTATTCTCTTATACATGCCTAATCATTCCTCAACTCTTAGACAAACGGTTAGTGATGTGATGTAAGATGAGCTAAGAAAAAAAACACGTACATATATACAATTATTGCCGGAAGTGCTGCCGATGAAATACAATGTACTGTATAAGAAACACCCGCAGGAGGAAAATAGACAAAGCCCAGCCCCGTGATGGAAGTCAAAGAATAGTTTATGGAACTATATACATCCGCGTTCGTGAGGCCCAGCCATTAAAAAAGGCGACCTCGATCCGAGGTCAACACTGACGCTTAAGGGCGACCCAACCTGACCCGAGGCGAACCAAAATTTTTTCCCCAACCGCAAAGGAAAGAAGAAAGATGTAAAAAAAATAAATCGAGGGAGGGCACAATAAGTTTTCTCAGTACCTTGAGAATAAATTCTTCGAATAAAAATAGGTTCCAGGTAAGAAAAACATCATTCCAAAAATTTGGGCCAGTTTTCGTTCCTGATATGCTAAGAATTTTTCAGAAATTTATGTGCAAGCCTTATTGCATCTTATTCCCCGAATGACATTTTTAGACAACCTTCGAATTTTAGGACTCCTATCATAATTTTCCCAAGACCGCATCACTCTTGTAAGTTGGAAAAAATGGAAGGTTTCAACAGCAGGCGAATCTCCTTACAATAAAAACCTATCACAATTTTGTCTAAAAGCAAAATTTTATGAAGGACATCAAGACTTGGAAAGGGAAAGGGCCTAAAATTGTTCCAACAGAAATTAATTCTAGCATTTTTGCAGTGAATCTTCACTAAATTTAAAAATGTTGAAAACATTTGTAAATGCCATCTGATCCATAAAATAACAGTCTTACATGACAAACAAATTGCTATTACTTTCAGGCCATTTTATTCTCTAAAATTTCAAACCTTGGTACAAGCAAACATTTGAGTATACAGTACTGTATGTCATAGACTGATCAAACATTGCTCTGTGAAACATTTCACACATTTGCCCATATTCACAAAAATGAAAAAAACATTTTTGCATGAATTCACTATATTAAGTCATCCAAGACAGGATAATAATGTGTACAGTGAGACCTCTACATGCAGACACCTCCACATTTGGACACCTTGACATGTGGACAATTCAACCTAAGGACACTCATTTTCCTATAAATATCATTAAAAAAGGCCCAAAATGTGGACACTGACAATATGTGCTAAAATTGCAAATAAGTTTCAGGCTAAATTACAAGAAACAGATATTTCCAACCAAAGATCTATGTAAGGATATTTCTTTGGCATTTTTCACCTTATTGCATCTTATTCCCCGAATGACATTTTTAGACAACCTTCGAATTTTAGGACTCCTATCATAATTTTCCCAAGACCGCATCACTCTTGTAAGTTGGAAAAAATGGAAGGTTTCAACAGCAGGTGAATCTCCTTACAATAAAAACCTATCACAATTTTGTCATGACTAAAAGCAAAATTTTATGAAGGACATCAAGACTTGGAAAGGGAAAGGGCCTAAAATTGTTCCAACAGAAATTAATTCTAGCATTTTTGTAGTGAATCTTCACTATAAATTTAAAAATTTTGAAAACATTTGTAAATGCCATCTGATCCCTAAAATAACAGTCTTACATGACAAACAAATTGCAATTACTTTCAGGCCATTTTATTCACTAAAATTTCAAACCTTGGTACAAGCAAACATTTGAGTATACAGTACTGTATGTCATAGACTGATCAAACATTGCTCTGTGAAACATTTCACACATTTGCCCATATTCACAAAAATAAAAAAAACATTTTTGCATGAATTCACTATATTAAATCATCCAAGACAGGATAATATTGTGTACAGTGAGACCTCTACAAGCGGACACCTCCACATTTGGACACCTTGACAATTCAACCTAAGGACACTCATTTTCCTATAAAAAATGCATAAAAAAGGCCCAAAATGTGGACACTGACAATATGTGCTAAAATTGCAAATAAGTTTCAGGCTAAATTACAAGAAACAGATATTTCCAACCAAAGATCTATGTAAGGATATTTCTTTGGCATTTTTCCTATTTAACCATTTAACCATATCAATTTATCTAATTTTTAAAAATTCCCTCCAGCATAGAGGGACTTCCTTCTCCTTTTTGTTACTAGAATTTTATTTCAACAGAGAATGCCAAAATTTCAATGTACTGAAGAGGCATGCAATAATTCAATGCTCCAAATATCCTTATTGAGTTGAAAGATATTGATTGAATCAGTTTCAATTTGCAGAAAACTTTTTCTATTATATTCAGGGAATTCTGATGAATATTTCTTCCATAAAAAAAAACAAATTATAAATTATACAGTATTTTGTAAGTCTAAGAAAAAGTGAGTTATTCTGACTTATTGGGGACTTTCTTGACTCTTGAGGCACCAATTACGTCCATATCTCAGGGTCTCACAGTAATTCATTCAATAATAATCCAAACTATTCCTGGCCTGCAAAAAAAAAAAAACCGAAAAAACTTCTGAACCAACCCTCATGCATCATTCTCACCATTTTCTCACCCCAACGAAAAGCCAAAGGAACTCAAACACCTGTCAAGCGAAAAAAAATTCTCAGATGCACGTTTAATCCCTCCAGCAGTAATTTGTTTTTCTTGGAAAATAATTCTACAGATAATGCCAAGGAATTTGTTCTTTTACGCTACCATGTATGCAGTAGATAAAACTAGAGCACTTATAGTCGGCGAATCACAAGAAATGCTTTCATTCCCACGTGGTGGGAAAAAAGAATATAATGTGAAGGTCAAGAGTGAAGCCAGTCAACTGCCCCACCGAAAAAGGGAAGCCGGAAAAGTGTCCTTCCCATATCAAGTACCAGAATACTTGCTTCCACTTATTAAGTCACTTCATTGCAATGGGGTCCATGTAAATTATGCTGGATCAAGAAACAAAATAACACCTTGTCTCTAAAACCAGGAAAAACATGTAAAAGATCTGTCTCATCATGTTTCAAAATGTGGAACATTTCACTTTTGAGTACTCTACACTAAAATTCAGAAAACAAGGAGTATAAGTTTGATATCTGAAAAAAAATTAAACCACTAACTGCTGTGAACAAGTACAAAATTCCTGAAATGAAAAACATTTGAATTGTATTTCTTCCTGATATTTTTGAGACTTTTACATCTGAACCTGAAAAACATCAAATTTGAGAAAGTCATCTTGACACAAACTGGCTCCCTATTTTATAAAAAAATACTGTACTATATGACTTTATGTAATACAATATCACAGAAAGGTATAAATAGATTAAGTGAATCATAAATGTGCAAAATATCTTGGCTTCATACTGAATGAGCACAATAATGTCAAGAAATTAATGATTAAAAAAAGGTTTGTCTGTTTAAAACTTAACTAAATTTTAATATTTCCCCCATTTTAAGGCAGTCAAAAAAGAAAAAAAAATGGAGGCTCTTTTGATATGCAATTCATGTTTTATTTCAAAAAGAAAACAGAAAAAATGTATAAAAAACTGCTAATTTTCTGTAATATCTTATAAAGCTATTGAGACATACAGTATTAAAATTATTTGTGTTACATAATATAAACATTTTGCAACAAGTAGAGGAATATTTTATATAAAAACTATCCACAATAGCAAAAACTATCCACATTTCTGAGTTTCTTTACCTTCCTCCATCATAGAACACATCTTTCCCTTTTGTCTCTCAAGGCAAAATAGACCAGATTTTTGCCAAGATGAACCTTGAGCTAAAACTTAAAATCAAACCCTTTTTGCTGACGTCAAAGCAGTCAGTACACTAGAAAGTAGGCCTAGAAAATCAATACATCACACCAACTTCAAATAAGCTCATCTTCTATAGGGCTTCTTTGCGTCATGCCTCTGATTCTTTCCTTGGAAGACAATATAATGCTGCTCGTCTATATACTTCCTTAAAATTCAAAAAAATGATCTTGAGTACATGAGAATGCCAAAAAAAAATTTCGAAGAAAACTCCATGGGTATACAATGACAGGAGTTTCCTGCTTATGACAGTAAGTTCAGGGAAACCCTGACATTAAAGTAATTGCATCAGCCACAAAATTACAGGATCCTTCCTTCCTGTATAAACTAAAAAAAAAAGACACTGTATTATCAGACTTTATTTTTAGGAAAAGACCCACACTTTCGATTGGAAGATGAACTAAAAATAAATATGGTGCTTTTGAGGTATCAGGAACCAAACACAAATTTTATAAATACTAAAAAAAAAAAAAAAACCAGATGCCTATATAGCTTGTCTGGGCTGGGGTGTCTCATCATTGTCCTGTCCTTGCAGCCACACATGCACCCAGGATGTCAGCCTTGACCCAGTGCTGCTGCTGCTGCCAGCAATCATCCCATCACAAAAAAAAATCCTCTATCCCCACATCACATCCTCTGCTGATAGCCCAACTCCATTCAGAGGCTCATCAAAAAATAAGCAACACTTCATTAAACAATAATAAAATCGTATTTTTTTTTACATGTCGAAGTTCTGTGAAATGAAGGTTTTTCTGCTGATGAGGCCACTAGAAATCGTTAAACGTGAAATACATAAATTTGTTGAAAGTGAAATTACAACAAAAAATTGCAGCATCCTTTCTTAGGGTGCAGTATGATAATATCAAATCTTATTTAAAAATAATGTATTTAAAACTTTTATTTTTTAGGTCAATGTCCAATTGCCACAGCAATGTTGTAGAATTGTTCTGTGATACACATTCAATATTACAAAGCTTTCTTTCAGCTCATCCCAGTGGCTTTGTTGTAAATAAATTTTGGCGTATTCCAAAACTCAAATACTGTACTGTACTCATAAATATGAGAGACAGTCAGGAATCTAAAAGATTTATTTATTCAGCAACAAAGCTAAGAACTTTATGCAACAGAGAATAGAAAACATGCGTGGAATTTTTTGGATTTTTACTGCTGGAAAAACATTCTCATTCAATCTGTTGCCAAAGTTGTTAAGAAGCAAAATTATAAATTACAGTTCAGTTACAATTCGCAGAGAAAACAAAATCAGCATATGCTTTATTTACTGAGTCATGACCATGTGCATTGGGAACACATACAGACATGTGGAAAACCCCAACAGAAAGCCTTTTTTTATTGAGAAGAATATATTAAAAGATTGAAGAATGAAATAAAATAGTCAAAAAATGGAAACCATTGGATGACCATGTGCATTGGGAACACATACAGACATGTGGAAAACCCCAACAGAAAGCCTTTTTTTATTGAGAAGAATATATTAAAAGATTGAAGAATGAAATAAAATAGTCAAAAAATGGAAACGTAACCGTCTACTACATAGTCATTAAAATTTTATGAACTTGAAGTTTTCTTTGGGGTTCGATGATTATTAGACTACGGGGTTAAAAATTATTACTTCAGTAAGTACTCGATGTAAGTTTCATGTCATCTTCCTAACCTGGTCCATATTATGGAAACTTGACATATCCAGAAAAAATTACTTCATTCCAGAAATAAGTTGCTGATGATGAAAAAGAAGAAACTTTCAAAAACAACCTAAAAGTGATACTTTGACTTATCTTGGCCAAGCATAAGCACAAAAACAGTGAATTAATTCAGATGATTAATTTTTAATAAATCCCACAATAATAACATATGTTTACTCATTTCAAAACTTTGAGGAAGGGATAATTTTTTCTTGATGAGTAATCCCCTCCGAAAGTGTAATTGAAAGGCTTTCAATTCATCAAGAAGCATATAACTATCTTGGTTTTGGATCCCTATATAGCTTTTTGTCAAATTAAAGAAATTTCACAATTTGGATATAAAGAGCTGGATGAAATTGACATTGGCAGATGATGTATCAGTAATTTTAAAATACTTGAACTTCAAAAGAAACCCCAAGCTACTAATAATCTGATGCCCCAATTTTTAATAATGAAGTCATTCATGAGCTACATTCAAAGTACAGTAATTCCTAACCTGGTCCATATTATGGAAACTTGACATATCCAGAAAAAATTACTTCATTCCAGAAATAAGTTGCTGATGATGGAAAAGAAGAAACTTTCAAAAACAACCTAAAAGTGATACTTTGACTTATCTTGGCCAAGCATAAGCACAAAAACAGTCAATTAATTCAGATGATGAATTTTTAATAAATCCCACAATAATAACATATGTTTACTCATTTCAAAACTTTGAGGAAGGAATAATTTTTTCTTGATGAGTAATCCCCTCCAAAAGTGTAATTGAAAGGCTTTCAATTCATCAAGAAGCATATAACTATCTTGGTTTTGGATCCCTATATAGCTTTTTGTCAAATTAAAGAAATTTCACAATTTGGATATAAAGAGCTGGATGAAATTGAACCAATGTTTAAAACATTGATATAGCTCATGAAAATACTGAAGCAAAAAGCAGGACAAAAACTTTCGAAAAGATCCAACTGATGCATAAAATGCCCTGAAATGTGATACAATGAATGTTGCTGTTTATTTTTGGTTGTTTTCCCTGCATGGTGGAGAGGAAGCCAGCTGAAGTGTATAATGACTGCAATCATATTTTCCCCCTCATCCAAGTGCCAAAACAAAAGAAGAACAGTCACCTGTAGCAAAAACTGAGAGCATACTAATTTATTCGAAAATTTGTGAACACCAGCATGGCAATAAAAAAACCAAGAATAAAAATTTTAACTTTTGACGAATGTGATGAATTAATGTTTAAAATATATGCAGTCTTTAAAGATGAAAACACTGCCATTTAAAATTAATTTTCATACCATTCATTATTGCGGCTTTTTTCTGGAAGTACTTTTAGTATTAAAGGAATGATATTTTTTGGTAAACCATCAGCTAGGTCACTTGTGTTATTTTTTAGAACTAAAAGAAACAAAAAAATATTATTTTCTCTCCCATTTCCGAGGGGATCAAGGTTTTTATTTTTAATTTTTAAATATCCGTCAGAATAAATCCCAGGCTATTTCTGAAAGGGATCCCGGAATTATCGTCACCCTCAATCAGAACGTTAATCCCGACGGGATCTAATCAGCACCCGTTTATTGGAATACATAATTGGACTCCGGTGGAAAAGTATAGTGTATAAAAACCCCGGTTGTCCTTCTCTATCTGGAGGTCAACCTGAGACAGGCTGGGCTGGGTCACTATTATATAGCTGCTGGCAATCTCGGCAATAAACGCGAGGCTTGTCCGTCATGAGGGACTCCACAAATGCACCAATCAGCAAAAACCCCACCAGGTTTACGTCTAAACTCGTCAGCATTCCAACTTTAGCTACTTTTCATTTCTTTTTTTTTAATTGCATGTTTATTGTTCTTCGGTTTGCGTTTAGAGCTTTTTATAAATGCTTCATGGCATTTCAATTATTTATAATTTATAACTAATAAATTTCATTATGTAATTTTCACTATTTAAAATTTGTAAATTTATTAATCTATTGATAAATTGATAAATTGACAAACACCTTATCATACTTAAACTCAGAATTAACATTTAATATATTTTCAAGTAATATCATTGATGAAATTTATAGAGGACTGTTTTATGCGTGGAATCAGCGTTTAGATTTAATATATTTTTAAATTGTATATATTTTTTATATTTGATTCATTTTTCTAAAGATAAGAGAGGATATTTAAAATTGCTGAAGTTTTTCAAATTTTGTATAAAATAACGTATTTCATGAGGAATGGCAACACTCAATTACAAACAGATAATTGCTCCTGTCTTTTGTAACCATCACAGGAGGAAATAAAATCAATTTTTCCAAAGATAATATTTCAAAAATTTCCCTCAAAAGCAATACTAAGACAATACTAAAAGTTTCATTTTCATAATATTAGCAATTTATGAGGATCTTCTATATGCTCAACACATTTACACACTTACTTTCCTTCAGCTAGGGAAGAAAGGGATCAATAATGCTTCAAATTTTATTTTCAATATGAAAAATGGCCATTTGTATGTTTAGATATTATTTAACTTTGTAATTTTATTTTATTACACATGCACTCAGGAGAGATGGAGAAAGAGAGGTGATTCATCCAGTAATAAGAAGGTTATTTAGTCAAATCATTTTTTAAAAGTTTACATTCATTGAATAAAAAAATAAAAAAGAGAAACAGGCAATTAAGAAAAAAAGGTGCTGCATTAAACTCTTGATGCGATTCGAAAGCATTCAATTGTGTCTTTCGTAACCCCTCGTTTTGTACCTGGACTCGCCCTCAGGGGAGGGAGGTGATTTTTGCCTCAGACCAAAAGTACGTAACTATCCCCGCTTTTTCTTCCTCTGAATGAAGTAAACAACTTCCGCAGAAAACCTCCAAACTTTTTATGGCGTCCCGGAACCCGGAAACAGGAAGTGAGAATAATTCCGATGTCTCGGCTTCGTTTTGCTCTTGTCTGATGGCACAAAAAGAAAACAGCAAAATAAAAAAAATACGAGAGTCTCAAATTATTGACTAAAATGGTTTTTATTCGTTTTCGAGGAAACTTTTTTTTTCTCGCAATTTTGTGGAACGCTCAACACCTGGTGTCTTCAGCTGCCCCCAGCACGGAAAGTAATTTGCTCCAATGCCTCCCAAGGCTGATAAAATTATCTACTGAGTCACTAAAACCTGTCAAGGAAAAATGAAGATAATCTTGCAATTACTGTNCTCCAAACTTTTTATGGCGTCCCGGAAACAGGAAGTGAGAATAATTCCGATGTCTCGGCTTCGTTTTGCTCTTGTCTGATGGCACAAAAAGAAAACAGCAAAATGAAAAAAAAATACGAGAGTCTCAAATTATTGACTAAAATGGTTTTTATTCGTTTTCGAGGAAACTTTTTTTTTTCTCGCAATTTTGTGGAACGCTCAACACCTGGTGTCTTCAGCTGCCCCCAGCACGGAAAGTAATTTGCTCCAATGCCTCCCAAGGCTGATAAAATTATCTACTGAGTCACTAAAACCTGTCAAGGAAAAATGAAGATAATCTTGCAATTACTGTATACTGTACCACTGACTCGTCGTCGGAATTCCTCAAACACGAATTTTCCAAAGAAACAACGCGTGTTATTGTTAGTCACAAAATAAAACCTTCTCCAGAATCGATATACGCAAGTCCAAAATTCACTTACGCAGAATATTTGGCAATCAACAGCTGAATTATTGCTCGCAATAGTTGAACTTGAGATAATTTTCATCCATTGACAGGAAAAATTGCTCATACAATGTGTGCCATAGACAATTATTTTGAAAATACAAGTTCAAAGAAAGAGGATATTGAGAAAAACTTGTAAAAGACACAAGCTATATTCAGAAATTTGGGCAATTTCTGCTGCCTCAGTTCTGTGTCAATACAGGTATAAAATTATTGACATATGTTTAGGGATAATTTTTATACTTTACCATAGACGTATTTTTAACTTTTGACCTGTTTCCTTTCGTGTTATTACTTCATATGTAACTGTTCAAAAGCAATTGTAAATTCAGAGAAACAGGCATGATGAATCTGCCAACATTTTTTGAGTGGGGAAAAAATTAGTGCATAACCTCAATCATGCATTCCAGTCAAACACACATACTGTTTATTATCGTCTATCTTAAGTATACAGTGTTATAAGAAAGTTCGTATAAAATAGTCGTAATCATGTAATTATCCTTTTTGTACAAAAAACTCCCGTACAAGTTCTCTCTGAAGGTAATACTGTGTAAGTAATTTAATTACATACAGTAGTGTATGTCTTACTCCATTATGGGTTCATTATTCATTCATGAATATATTTTACATCACATGAAACTTTCTTCATTTCTTTCTATGTGATGCAATAACATACAACACAGTTTTGAAGCCCTGTGGAAGGGCCCTTTTTTGAACAGCTGCGGGCGCGTCCCGAGACGCGCCAATTATTGTTTAATTTTAAAAGTATTTTGTCAGTTTTAATTGTTCTCAACAAAAAATTCCGCAGTAATTTTTAATGTATGTCATCACATACAGAATGAGGTAATACCCAAGTAATAAGTAAGTACTTATATAAAATGTAGTGTACTTTGAAAGAAGTAAAGAAAGATACACTACGTTATTGTATGTTGTGAATCATATGTATATTTATACATTATATGCATGCATAAAACTGTTTTTTGTAATATTGTAAAAGTAGTATTTTTGAAAAAATTTGCATTGGATTCCAAGTGCATGTGTTGAGGATGCATGTGCATGAAAGGCATCTATTGTGACCCTTTCATTGAAATTACACATAGTGCATGCTTTACTCCATCTGTTGCATGGTTCTCATTCAGTAAGTTAAATCATGCAATGAACCTTCATTTGCACATATTTTGATGGTGCAACAGCATGCCATTATATTTCACCTGCAGAATATTCAGAAAAAAAATCCCATTGCCAAGAATATATCAAGAGTATTGAAATGGAATCAGTGTGTGCTGAAGGACAAGCAGGGAAGTACCCCATAGGTCAGATAATGTCCTTATTTGGGTCATGATAGGAGCTAGCCCCCTCCATCCCTGCCCCCCCCCCCAAAAAAACCCACCACAATACCTCAAAAAACACAAGTGCCCCCCCCCTCCTTGTGATGCAACAGGTAACAAGCAGGAAGTGCTCTGTGATATTCTTCTTCCCCTCTCATGTCGCCTATTTTGTAATGCAGTTTGTCCAAGGAAGTTGTGGTGGTGGTTGGTGAGGAGGAATATATAAACACACACACACACACAAATATCCCTCCCTCTATCCCCAAGATTCACCCAAAAATAAATAAATGAAGTAAAATGGCCATTATAAGGATGAGGCCTTCGTTTTTCTGGTTCCAGATCCACACACACACACACACACACACACACACACACACACAAACACGTCTTGAGACAGTGAGAAAGGAAAAATTGATGGGACAGGTGCGAGGGTTCAGAGAGAGACACGGTTTATGAGGGAAGCCAAAACGCGGGTCCTTGTGACTTTAACCGGCTTGCTTGTGGCGCACCGGGCTTCAGTTGGTTGCCGACTTCCGCGCCGGTCGGATGTCCCCAGTGGTACCCGGGGGTACCACAAAGATGAAGACATGCTTGACTCGGGTTTTTTTTTAATTCTGTAAAGTTGACACATTTTCGGAAACAAGTGACCTACATTCTTCTTGAAATATTTGCACAGTAGTAGTTTTTGTTTATGGTGGACTGCTCATTTTTTGTGGATTGAAAATGAAGTGGTGCATGAGTGGTCAGGTCTGACCATTAAAAGAAAAGATACTACATATATGTCTCAGGGATACAAATATTGACACATTTTCCTGAGAGGTCTTATTGGTGCATCAAGATCCTGCTCATTCAGGTATGAATGTCTGATGAGACTATTGAAGAAAATATTCTTTCCATGTGGAACCAGTGGTACCAAAATTTGAATTTCATAATTTCTTTCAATTATTTGTCAAGATTTCATGACATTTCTCTTCCTCATCCAATAATTTCATTCAGGCAGAACACTTGTTTTTGGCATACAATTTAATTACAAAAATTACAGTACTGCAATACAAAGAGCATCAATGGTCACATGTGGCCATTCTGAAAAATATGATGCTTTCTGTCTGTGGAAAAATTCTCAGGTTGCCAAAATATATATAAACTCATTTTCTAGATAATTGTTGCAAAGACGCTTTCTAATCAGGGATAAATAATGTCTATGATGGAACAATTGAAGAAAACATTATTTTTGTCTTTCTTTAGAACCAGTGGTACAAAAGTTGAATTCTGTTTGTCTGCTTGGGAAATTCAGGAAGTAGTTATAACATTTCTTTTACATATGTAATATACTTTCTCTCAAGGCAGAATTCACCGTTTTTGGCTTCCTTATGCTGTATGACACAAGTACTGAAAAGTGGTCAGAATAAGTGACCTTTCTGACATTTGGGATGCAAGTGATCTTTCTCTGATGAAATTATCAGGGAACCCACAGTCAAAGTGTCTTTCAGATAAAATTGTCATTAAGTGAGGAAGTTCTGCTGGGACTATGAAAGAGGCAATTATTTCAAGCCATCTTGTTAAGAACCAGTGGTGCCAGAAATTGGATCAGAATTTGGAAACCTGGAACATTTTGGAAGATGAAATACCTTCTTTGAGATGGAATACCAGAAATAGTACCTGTGAACAAGAGTAATAAAAATTAAGTGAATATCCAAGCTTTTAGTTACCAAGTCATCTGACACAGCAGTGTCCTCTAAGTTCAATCTGCAGTTCATTTTCCACCTGTAAGTGATTTTTACCAAAAGGGAGTCAACTATAATTACTACAGTAAACATTTTAGTGGACACTAATGGCCATAAATTTCAAGTGCTGTATTTTGTCATTACCCATGCTCTCCACACAATTTTTTTCTGGTCATATGGAAATAATTTACCATAATTTATCAATATGAAAGTAGAGGGCAGATTTTCCTCTTTTTCATCAGAGTATAACTGTATTACTGTAATCATCAGTTCCTCAGACTTACTTGTGGATGGAGTCCACCTGCATTAAACTTCATCATACAAAAGGTGTATGAAAACTCATGACAAACAGGCTCATTTTGAGTGATTCAGATGAATGGAAACAAGAAGGAAATTTCCATTTTCATGTGTTAATTTTCCCTAATGAGAAAGTTACTACTGTACATTAATAAGTATTTTATTAGTTCTTCTATAATTAAATTTAACTTTCTACAAGAGCAATCCTTGGGTAAAGCACATTTTTACTACAATTCAGCTTCAATGAATATATATGCTTTAATGCAGCACGTTAGTGAAATTATATGTAACATATGCTTGCTGATATTAAACTTATTACAGTACTAAAATCTATTTTCATGTAACACGTTTTTAAGTTGATCATCTTTAAGTGGAACGAATAAAATTTACCCTACAGCAAATTTGGATGAACTCCTATAGTAACCATCAAAAATCTTTTCAGGAAAAAGAACGTGTTTATCCCACAAAAAAATGTGCAAGAATATGACATATACCCAATGAAAATATGAATAGAAAAATGTGAAACATATTTCTGATCATAGTGAAACATGGGAGTATTTTCTGTTATAGGTTATTATTTCCTGACGCAAAGAAGTTCAGGTAGAATTAATAGCATCTTCATTTTTGTGCGTCAATTTTCCATCATTATGCTCATTTAAAAGTTTGCATGTAACAAATAAAAACCTAAAGAAAATACTGTTCGGGAATAACTGACAGAAAATAGTAAGACGACACCATTTTAATTTTCTCTAAAACATTTCAAGTGCCGCAGACCAACACAAATGTTGCTCTACAATGGGTGAAAAATTTTCTTGATTAAGAATATGAGTCTTATCTCATCTTGCGAAATATTATACTTTTTTAATTTAAAAAAACATGGAATTAATATTCTTATTTTTTTTCGAATTTCCAGTTTTTTCACCCCTTGGGGCGGTGAGTTGTGATTTGTCGTTCGGCGGTAAAAGAATCGAATCACGAGCACCTTTGCCAACATCCAAAAAAGAGAAAAACTCATTCCCGAAAAAGGAGGAGGAGAATTATTTTTGTGACTCGCAAAAAAAAAAGAAAGAATATACAAAGCAAAAAAAAAGAAAGGAAGAAGAAGAGAAAGAAGAGAGAGAGGAAAAACAAATCCGACATAAATCCGAACTCAGCGGAAACCGAGCTGTGATATTTTTTCCCTGAATCCCCTCCAAAAAAAAAAATCTCGTTCAAGAGATTTTCAAAAAAAAAAAAGAGTTTTTCTTTCGCCGATCGACGACGACTAAAGAAGACCCACCAAAAGTACCAGAAAAAAGAGAAAGGTTGTGACACCGTCATCATCATCATCTTCGTCACCAAGAAGCAAAGCAAAAAAATATATATATTTAAAAAAAATGTCGACAGCAACGGCAGAAACCATGGACACACTGTCACCAGCCTTGGCCAAACTCGACATCGACTCGGAAGAAGACAACGTGGAAATCATCATCACTCCAAAGGCCAAGTCCGGCACCAGCTCATCGTCGTCATCTGCACCAATCATGACCACAACAACGTCAGTGTCGATGTCGAGTCCCAATTCCCCCGACACGGACTCATCGTCAGACGGATCCGCGTTTTTCGACGCCGCGAGTGACAAGGCTTCGCTCATCTACGATTCCTCTCAACGTCGAGACTCGGGTTTCGAAGAAAAGAAATCCAGCAGCAAGTCCAAGGACAACAAGGAGAATGATGGTGCCCGAAATAATTCGGTCATGACCGAGGAAGAAGAAGATGACGAGTTCGTGGTGCCAGACAAGGAATTGGTGGAGAAGATCGTGGCGCAGGTGGAGTTTTACTTCAGCGACGCCTCCATCACCAAGGACGCCTTTCTACTCAAGCACGTGCGGCGAAACAAGGAGGGGTTCGTGTCACTCAAACTCATTTCTTGCTTCAAGAGGGTCAAGCATCTTACAAAGGACTGGCGACAGGTGAGGAGACATTGTAAAAAGTTTTTATAAAATAAATTAAAATCAAAATTCACCTGGTACGTTAAATACATATTGTACACATTTTTAATCTGCTCCCTGATTCTAGGGTATTGGTTGAAATTGAATGTCTTGAGCTTGTCTCGGTGTTTTATTTTTAACCCAGGGATTTGATTTGATTGAAGACCAGAAAGATGTTTCATTTTTTGCAGCATGAACTTAGCGTACTTTTAGGGTCTGCAATAACTACTGTATTGCACTAATTGTGAATTTTACTTTTTGAATGCCCAAAGTGGGACAATTATGTTTCATTTCTGCTCCTGTCTTTTGGGCAATTTTATCTGGAAGAAAATGTGTGCCAATTTTATCAGCAAAGTGCTTTGGCGGAAAAGTTATTTTGCAGAAACAGAAATATCACAAAAAGTAAAAGACGTAGCAATATTTTACTGATCAGTAATATTCACCATCTGCCATAAAAAACACAGATATTCAAAATAGATTTATGAATTTGCTTTTCCAAAGCTATATATAAATGCATCACAATTTGAAATGCTTCAGAATCCCATTTTGTGTTGTCAAATACAGTAACTATATCCATGCAATCATTCAAAAGGCTAAACATTTACAGATGCCAAATAGTTATGAATAACATTATTAAAAAGAGATCAAAACTCTTCATACAATGTAACGCAAATGTAGGGCAAGGCCCACAAGGAACAAAATATAAATTAAATTGCAATGAATGAAGCAGACAATCTGTCCAGGAACAGGGCAAGGGGTTCTTTGATAAGAATTCCAAAAGAGAAATACTGCATATAGGAATATCAAAACTCAAGAATGGGTATAGATTCAATCAAGACAAAGTTTATCTAAGAACCAATTGTGACAAATGCCAATTTGAGCGTGTAAAGGTTAGGGCAAAAAAATGGATAACAAGAAAGGGAGGAGAGAGAGAGAGAGAGATAGGTTTGCATGATGCGCATTTCTGCACAGCAAATTTCTTTGGTACCCTGCATCTTTTTGGACTCAGGGTCCAAATTGTTTCCTGCAAAAACCCCCTTTTTTTTTATACAAGCAATGCGGCTTTCAGTCAAGTTGATGGGGCAAAAAAAGCTGTAGGGGAACAATGAGGCTAGGCTCAGTTTTATTTTCAGAATCTTAATAATTTCAGATTTTAGTGAAAGAAGGGTTTGAAGATAGAGGTCATTCTGGTTTTTTCCCAAAGCTATGCATCAAATTTTGAATTGCTTCAGAATCCAATGTAGTGTTTTCAATATTCATGCAATCATTCCAAAGACTGAATATTCATATATGACGAATTGTTATGCATGACATTAAAAAGAGATCAAAATTCTTCATCCAATTTAACACAAATATTCCAGGCAGTTTTCTGTGTATTTTCCAGAGCTACATCAAATTATGAAAGGATGAAGAATCCCATTTTGTGCTTTCAAATACCTATATTCATGCAAATTCACAAGAATAAAACTTCAAATATGCTGAATTCTTAGGATTTATGTATTTTCATCAATATCCACATATTCTACACATTTGCATGGAATTGAAAAATCGAATCTGTCAAGTGTTGAATGATTCATGATACTTTCAGTGGTACAAGTTCAATCACATTTCGGAGTTTTTGGAATTCTGATTTTTTCATCATTTGAATGACTATACGAAAAATTTCATTCAAGAATCTTCATCCAATAAAAACCAAAATTTTGAATATTTCTCAAGAATAGTCCAAGACTGTATCCAAAAAAATGTAGTCATTTGTATTATAAAACTCAATTGCTAAAATAAAGCCGTTCTTGTTTCCTTTTCTCATGCACTTATTTTTGAAGTACAGTAGTACAACAAATGTCAAGGATTGACATACGTCACCTTTAAATGGATAATGTCTGGATGGGATCTTTAGTCTCTGAAGAGAATATGAATCAAATTTAGAAATTCTAATTTCATGGCCAATCGTTCAAAAATAATGTTTGGCATCAAAATAGTCTTATTTTGAGACTCGTTTCAGAAGTGAATCATATTTTTTGGCTGAAACTAGTCACGTCATCTTTGATGGCTTTTGTAACAATGGGCTAAAAATAAAATTTTCAGGTATTTATGTGTAGGATACGAAGTATTACAACGATTCAATCATTCATCAAGTACCCTTGAAAAGTACGCAGAGCACAAATTTCCAGAAATAAAATTGCAAAGAAGGATTTTGTCAAGACTTTCCAATACAATATGGCGGTGTCTTAGAAGAATATCTTCTTATATAGAAGAAGGTAGGTGTGCGTTATGTACATGAACAAGATAGTGACTGGTGTATGTTAGATACAATTTAAAATGCATTTTCATGTGTTCCATGATGATCCATCATTTGAAATAAAAAAAAATGCGAACATTTTTATTATTAAAGCACTCATCTTTATATGACGCGATCCTGAATTAAATTAGAGATTTTCAACAACACAAATTCGAAACACAAACGTTGGGAGCAAATGTTTACTTCATTTAGAGACATAGCGAACATTTTTATTATTAAAGCACTCATCTTTATATGACGCGATCCTGAATTAAATTAGAGATTTTCAACAACACAAATTCGAAACACAAACGTTGGGAGCAAATGTTTACTTCATTTAGAGACATGCTGTTAGATCAATCAAGGTCAGTAAAAAAAAACAAATCAGATTATTCCCCAATTTTTTCAAAAAACCATGAACATGTAGTAAAAAGGTTTACTATAGTGCATTTCGAGAATAATGCAATCAAAGAAGAGAGGAAATTCATTTTTGGCACCCTCTAAAATACTAGCTCTCAGGTATTAAAAAACAAAATCAAAATTTTACCTCAGTGAACATATATTGCTTGAAATAAACCACAAAAAGAATTTATTTACACCCAAAAAAAATTATCCCCAAATGAAGGAGCTTGTGGCGATTCTTGATAATGGTACTGCTGTATCGAAACAGAATTTTAAAATTTCCAAGAGTCAAAATAAATGCAATTCAGAAACAGGTGTTCGAAGTTTAAAAAAAGAAACAAAACTCTTATTCACGGTTTTCGTGAGGTTAATATTCAAACTTTATTATATTGTTCGGTCTATATATATCCAATACGATACTGACTCACGACTCCCCCATTTCATCACTCGATTAATAACGTTTAAAACACCTTGAAATCTTCGTTTGAGGGAACAATTGAAAAGAAGTTGCACTTGCTTATCATTCGTGCTGCACGACAAAAACCTTCGAGATTAGAAGCCCGAAAATTCACCGGCAGCAGCAGCCACGTGACAAAAACTCGAATACAGTATCACACACTTGCCGATACAGAAGACAAATCATTCACTAAATTGCAGCCATCAAATTTCGTTTCATTTCCACATTTATTAGGTGGCCTATGCAATTAAATCATCGTCCACCGACTTGGAGGTGAATGATGTGGAGACCAAAGTTCGCCGCAAGGCGGCGCTGCCTGAGACGGACGAAACGACACCTAGCCGAACTGTGGTTGCCTACAATTTACCAGGGGCGACACCTAGTGTCGAATCTGTTGCAGAGGTACGTGTGACTCTCATTTTCAACCTTTTTCGATTGATACAGTTGAACCTCTAAGAGTCAAATTTCTAGGGACCAGGGAAACAATGTGACTTATTGGGGAGGTTTTGATTTTTTGAGGTTTTGAGTAAAAGAAAACAAACATTTCTGCTGCAAGGAAAAGTGAAAAAAATTGTGGGAAATTTTAGATGAGGATTTTATGGGCCTAGACTTGCTTTTTGATATGAGTTTACAGCTTGCTGAACTTGGAGACAGGGGTTCATTTGTTCAATTAGTCTTTCACTTCATTTCAAGATGCGTAAAATCATTTGTTTTATTGAGTTCTCCTTCATATTTCAAGGAAATAATAACCAAAAGGCCTCAGAAAATTTGACAAACAGAAGTTCAAGAGAAAAATACCTTAAGTTAGGGAAGTTTTTAATGCATTGTTTCTGAGGGAATCCAGACAGGGACTTGAAAAAAATTTTGATTTAGGGAGGTTTGACTTAGCAAGGTTGAACTGTATATATACAAGCTTATTTGCTGCTTTTCAGTATTCACTATGGTTCAAAAAGTGTTCTGAACCTTGAAAAATCACATTTACCTTGAAGTTTCAGTACTTTTAAATGCACTAAAGTTCTCCAGTTTGCACAAGGGAGTAATTTTATGAATATTCAAAAGTGTACTTGAAAAAATCAGTCATTGGATTGAGAGATTTTACTGCCCTGTATTAAAGTGAAGTACTAATGGAGCTTCTTTATTCTTATGCAAGAAAAAATGTGAAATTCTGTTGAAAAATATAGGAATAATAAAGACTCAAAACATATAGGGAATTGAAAAGCATAAGAGATAAATCCAACAATATGAGTCACTCACAAAGAAGAAGAGGAACATGAAAATTATGCAATGAAGAGCAAATATAAGTGTGATGTTCTTTACATGAAATCTTAAATTCTTCTTGGGCTTGACCAATAAAGGAAAAAAAGAAACCCAGAGATTCAGAGATAAATTCCAATTGCAAATTTGCCAATTATTTATACTACGAAACTGGAATTGAATTTGCCTATTTTTCTTTATTTTGTCCCTGGAAAGGTTTTCAACAAATTTGGAGAGATTGCCATCATTTCAGTTGAACATTTTGAAGTTGCATGTTATCTTCATGAAATTATGATGGATACTTGAGGTTCAAATTCACACTTGAAAATGTAAATCTTGCACATGACCTCACATCATACGCATGAAAACAACTTTTTCAAAATAAAAACGGATCCATGTTTCTTTTGGAACCTGCAACATTCTTTGAATACTTTTTTGTTTAATTTTGCCTAAGGATGATTATACTGTACTCTCTGTGGATTCTCCTGTTTCAATTATGAAATAGGAGAATCCACAGATGAAAGTATAATGGTTTCAAACATTTTTTTGGTGTAATAATAACTTGTGTTTGTGAAAGCATCTAAAAATATTTTCACATTCTGTTCAGGACATGATGCAGTCTGTCATATATTCAGGTAAACATTATGAAAGTTTCATGATTGAAGATTATTATTGGCAATAATAAGTTGCCAGTAAATGCAGCAAAAAAAAAAATACTGCATGTTCCACTGGGTATAATTCAACCATCAACAGAGATGAGACAACAATAATGCATAATTTTCCAGCTCAGCATTGAAGTACATGCAGTGAAGCCCCAACATGCAGACACTGACTCAACATGAGGACATTGCGTGATAAAATTACCAATAAATTTTAGGAAAATTGATTTTATCATAAGGATTAATTGCAAAAAAAAGGATATTTCCAACCCTAAGATTCACGCAAGAAAAATTCTTTGGTACTTTTCCCATCACTTTCCCATCCATTTAGCTAATTAAAAAATTACCTATAGCGCAGAGGGACTTCCTTCTCTCTTTATGACTTGGATGTTATTTTTAGAGATGCCAACATTTCAATGAACTGTACAGTGTTGTACTATTCAATGCTCCAAATGTTCATTTACTGTATTGAGTTGAAAAGATGTTCACTGAATCAAATTCAAGCGGCAAACAACTATTTTTTCATGGAATTCTGAAGAATATATTTCTTCCATAAAATACCAATTAAAAAGTATATATTGTAAGTCTATGATGCTGGGAAAACAAATCCTCAGCCTCCAACACCTATAATTATTATTATTTTTTTTTCCACTTGTGATGATGCCAATAACCTTATTCAACCCCAAACCAGCCCCCCCCCCACTCCCTCCTTTAATAAAATGGCATTGTTCTTATGTCATGTCATGCAGGAGAAGCCGCAGAAAAGTGGGAAAATGAGCAGCGCATACTACTTTTTCATGTTGAATTTTCTGCAGGATTATAAACAAATCTTGGACTTTTTTCCAACTTTGCTTTTGGTAAAAAAAAAAGTAGGTTTTTTTTATTCCCAGTGCCCAGTGGCACAAAATTTTGGCAAAAATCCCTTACACGGGAGGTCTGTTAGGCAGGGGGCCGCTGTATACCGTATTTGCTCTAATAGATGCCTTCTATCTAATAGAGGCCGGTCTCTTATAAGCGCTTGGTCACAAAGGGGATACAAAAGAATAGTAGCTGGCTTCCAATAGTAGCCGGGTCCAAGAAGAGACCTGGCTACTATTTGGGGGTAAGGAAAAATTCCCAGAATTTTCTTGACCTGTAATAATCCTTCCCACATGTTGACCCTTCCTTCACACCTTGGTCTCAAGTATAAAACAAAGGATTCCTTTCCCTCCAGCATTTTATGAAGCATTCCTGTCTCAGTTTCTAATGAGCAATGGCAAATCCAAGTTTTCCCCCAAAATTCATCCTCCTGTTTTCCCTCTTTTTCTTCTCCTGATGTTACCCAGCAACAACTGTTGGAAATAATTGCTGGTCTCTAAAAGACGCCAGTATCTATTAAACGCCTGGGGGAAAATTGAAAATTGCAAATAAACGCCGGGGCGCTTATTCGAGCATATATGATATATACATTTGTTTGGGAATTGAAAGATTGGATCACTGGATATAAGTAAGGGAAATGATAATTGCTTGACACCCTAGTGTAAGGTTATTGGTGTATTTGACACAAAGAAACAATTGGATTGAACAAAACCCAATTCAATTACACCAAGAGTTTCAACGTATTTTGCATGAGACTGCCAAAAAGCAACTGATTCCAAATAGAAAACAAATTCTGTTTTTAACCCTTGTGCAACAAAGTCAGGATATTTTTGCAAAATTTTGTGCCACTGGGCACTGGGAATAAAAAAAACCTACTTTTTTTTTTACCAAAAGCAAAGTTGGAAAAAAGTCCAAGATTTGTTTATAATCCTGCAGAAAATTCAACATGAAAAAGTAGTAATTAAAACGTGATGAGGTGATGTTTTTGCAGCACAGTAACACAATTCATTATTTTGGAGGGTAATAAACTGAAAATAGGGAAGAAAATAAAGTTGAGATTTAATTTTGCAATGAAGTCCTGCCAAAAAGTCATGAATAATATTTGGTATGGTAATCCTGAAAGCAATAAGGGAATGGGTCAGCTGAATTGGGCAAATGCAGTACTTTTTCTCATTTCCCCCCCTTTTCCTAGCCATTGAATTTCTCATCAATTCATTCTTTTCTTGCTTCCTGATCTTCTTCCTCATGAAAGTTCCAGTTTCCTTCCGTTAGCTTTTCATGTATTAGTTCCTGTTATCATTCACTCCCATTCCTTTTTGATAATTTATCTTCTTTTTCCTGCTGAATGTCCTTCACTTTCTAGTTGGATTCTTATATATTTTCCTTGAAAATGAATCTACCCTATTCGTGAAAGAGGAATTCAGATATGAAACATTTTGTATGCTGGGCTTTATTTTTTAAAGAGGATACATAGTATGCATGTTGAAATGTGATATTTTGGCTGTTTTGCGATTTTCTTTAATTTCCAAAACATGTTTTGGGAACAATTTGAAGTAAAAGGAATGGAAATTATTTGCATATTTCATCCATTATTGTAAAAACGTGCTGAACTTGCTGATCTTTGGAAATTCTTGCCTACATCTGATTTTTGCAGTTATGAAAGAATCCAAATGATGTTTCATCAATGAAATTTTTTGCTATAACTTCGTCTAATTCACCCACTTTCTCATCATGTCTGTAATTTTTTCAAGTTTTTTCCACTTGGTCCATTAGATTTTGGTATGTTCAGAATATTTTTTTTTCAATTTTCGAAAACACTGCTATTGGGAATGATTTGATGCAAGTTGATTGAAAATCATTAAGATATTTATTTCATCCCTTAATGTTATAGTTTTTTATTGTTGAACCCTTCTTGAGCTTGTTTAATTTTGGTCAGAGGTGAAAGAATCCAACTGAGGTTTCTTGAATTAAATCATGTTGTTGCAATTTTTCCCAATCTTTTCTTTCGTCTGTAACGAATTCTATTTTCCCTTCTTTTTCTTTGTTCCATGGAAATTAATGAGCTACTTCATTTTTTAATGATGGAGTTGAATTTTTATTGCTTGCAAACTATTTAAAGTTTGATTTTGGTCAGAGATGAAAGATACAATTACAGTTTAAGCCATTACATTTTAAATGCTGCTGAAATTTTCTTTGTACATTTCCAAATGTCGCATTCGTAAATTCAATCAGAATTCTAAAAAAAAGTATTGTAATGTGTTTCTTTTTTCTTTCTGTTTCAATTATTCAGGAAACACAATGGGCATGAGAAGGTACAGCTACGTGAGCAGCTCTTCATCCCCGTCATCAGCGGGTTCCATGTCACCAGGGTCACCATGCTGCTCACCACAGCACCATCGTGGTGCCCCGTGTTTCTGCTTCGCCCAGAGGAGAAGCGCCACACCCTTCGACTTTGCTCCTAATGCCGGCGTCGGTCAAATGTGAGTCATCAAACTTTCCAGAGTTTCTAGATTTTATTTTTCATTTTTAAAATTTTATACTGTACACTGATCCTCAAATTCAAATCCTCCTGTCCGTGTACTAGACTCAGTACCACTCTCGGGTAATTAGGAAATTGTCTTTCTATATACGTCAGCATCACCTTTTATTGTCTGTCTGTATAGCTTTTTACAAAGTACTTTACAGTACTTGGCACAGGGTTACTGCACATTTTTGACCGATCTCCACCCTCCACTGATCCATAATTTGTCAATAATCGTGACAAAAATATTGTGATAGAATATATATGTATCATGACATAGAAAACAATGTTTACTATTCGCGTTTTCTTCAATACTGAGCATCATTCCAATAAGTGAGGTCCCAAAATATGTTTTTTATTATTTTTCATCACATTCCCGAATTCCCTCTTGCACCAAATCCCATTACTCAGCAGAAAAAAAGTCTGTCTGGTAAAATTTAAATCAGCAGCTTATATACAGAATCTGAAGTTAGCATTTCCCATATTTTTGTTGATGTTGTCAAGGAATTGGACGATTTCAGTTAAAGCTTGTGATTGGTCGGCTTAAAATTATCTAGTATGTGAGTAATATTCCTCAGTTGAGTATAATTTTTAATCTCACAGCCAAGAATAAATTAAAATAATTATTCAGAAGACAAAGAAAGAAAGCAGCAATTAATTACCAGTGCTTGAATCTCAACTCAAGCCAAGACAACTGAAAATTGTATTTGAAAGGAACTGTAAGAAAAATGTACTGTAATTTTAGGAAACATTGACAAACAAAAGAAAATTGTTAAAAGATCACAAATGTGTATTTTATCTTTCTGTAAAAATGTGACTTTAAAATTCATTCAAATTGTATTTAAAAATGAAAAATTACCCATGTTTTACTAGAAACTATGCACTGGATTGAATTGCATTTTTAGAGTGAATATAATTGTACTGTATTTCGCTGAGAAAATATGGCTGGCCTTGTATCAGTATAGTTCTGGGGAAACAAACTGCAGGGAATACTACCAAAATTTTCAGTTGGAATGAGAGGAAAAAGTCTAAACTAGTTGATGGGCTTCTTATGCTGAATTTTTGGGGATTGGAAGTAATAAAATACTGCTCTCTGAAACCTTCAACTACCAAGTTTGAAGAAAATATTTTGATTACGTTGCCTACAATTATTTTAATCTTTCTGTCAAGATATACAATTTCATTCACAAGCAACTACTGTTTCATAATGCCAATATCTCCTCAGGGGCAAATCTACAAAATTGGGGGCCCTCTTTTGAAAGATTTCTTGCCTGACATTGAAAACTTGGATATAAAACTGAGAATATAGCAAAATTCCAGCGTGGAAGTATTCAATGTATTGGCAAAATTTAGTATTACAGCAATGCTATAGTATAACAATTTAAGGTTATTTTGAAAACGTGGTTTTTTAGATTAATTTTTTAATCTACTAAATTTTTTTTGTTGATGTTGTCAAGGAATTGGACGATTTCAGTCAAAGCTTGTGATTGGTGGGCTTAAAATTAACTAGTATGTGAGTAATATTCCTCAGTTAAGCTTAAGCATAATTTTTAATCTCACAGCCAAGAATAAATTGAAATAATTATTTAGAAGACAAAGAAAGAAAGCAGCAAATACCAGTGCTTGAATCTCAACTCAAGCCAAGACAACTGAAAATTATATTTGAAAGGAACTACAGTATAAGAAAAATTTACTGTAATTTTAGGAAACATTGACAAATAACAAAAGAAAATTGTTAAAAGATCATAAATGTGTATTTTATCTTTCTGTGAAAATGTGACTTTAAAATTCATTCACATGTATTCAAAAATGAAAAATGGCCCATGTTTTACTAGAAACTATGCACTGGATTGAATTGCATTTTTAGAGTGAATATAATTGTAATGTATTCCGCTGAGAAAATATGGCTGGCCTTGTATCAGTATAGTTCTGGGGAAACAAACTGCAGGGAATACTACCAAAATTTTCAGTTGGAATGAGAAGAAAAAGTCTAAACTAGTTGATGGGCTTCTTATGCTGAATTTTTGGGGATTGGAAGTAATAAAATACTGCTCTCTGAAACCTTCAACTACCAAGTTTGAAGAATATATTTTGATTACGTTGCCTGCAATTATTTTAATCTTTCTGTCAAGATATACAATTTCATTCACAAGCAACTACTGTTTCATAATGCCAATATCTCCTCGGGGGCAAATCTACAAAATTGGGGGCCGTCTTTTGAAAGATTTCTTGCCTGACATTGAAAACTTGGATATAAAACTGAGAATATAGCAAAATTCCAGCGTGGAAGTATTCAATGTATTGGCAAAATTTAGTATTACAGCAATGCTATAGTATAACATGATCCAGTTTGGTGCCCTTGACTTTAGATTGCAATTCAAGTGGAATACTTGTTTTTTTTTTTAAATAAATCTCTTAGTTGGTGCACAAAAATTCAGTACAACTGTTCTGAAAATGTTCTGGACTCATGTTTGGCATATTATCTTTTCATCAATTTAGTGAGGCGTGAAAAAGGCTCGTTTTCACTTCGGCGTCTATATACCGAAAACTACAGTGCCCCCCCGCCTAACAGACCTCCCGTGTAAGGGATTTTTGCAGCCTAACAGACAAAATCCGCCAAACAGACTTCTTTTGGTTTAAAATTTGTGTTGAAAATTGAAATTTTTAATTTTGATATAATTGAATTTGTGTAAAGGACTTTTTGTCTAACAGACTTGTCCCTTGCATGAGTCAAGTCTGTTAGACGGGGGTTGACTGTAAATGAGTACTTTTTTCTACAACAAATTTCTCAGGCTTATTTTCCATTGAACATGTATTAAACATTTTCTGGGAAACATAGTTCAGTAAACACTCTAAACAGTGACACAATCATTTCCTGGCTCAAAATTACTTCTTACAGATAATCAAACAATAATCCGTACATATCCTCTCAAGTCCTAAAACATAGCTTCAACCTCACATGAATCACTATCAGCTTCAATATAATTTCTAAATTACCCATCATTGCAAAAAAATCGGCAATGAATGAAGAATAAAAAAAATGATTCAGGGTGCTGGTGACACCTTCACGTCATTCCACAACAATTTGGACATGAATGCCAAAGTTAGAATCATTTCATTTTGAAGTAAGGCACACATGAAAAAGATTCCACTTCATTTTCAAAATGATATTTGTGAATATCCTATAGAATTACCTCCAATCAAAAATATATCTCCAATGAGAAACCCTCAACTTGGCAAAAATTGAAAAAAAATTAGAATCAATTGTGCTCATGAAAAAGCCCATGTATATTCATACAACAAGGATTCCTTGAGTGCTATAAGAGTGAAGGCAAAATTATAGGGGTATAATTGACCCAATTCCTGGCTCCATCAACAATGAAGCACACAACAAAACATGGGTTCCACTACTGCATTTTGAATTGTCTAAAATTATATTGATTGTTCTCTATTGATTCTCAAAGAGCGGTGCCCTTCTTCCATATATAGATGCCCTAAACTTTTAATGCGATAGGAAAAAGGTTGAGGGGGCCCATGAAAAGACCATTTGGGGTTTTAAAGCTTCAAGGATGCGAACCCTGGGTATTATAAAACTATGCACGAAATTACGGAAGCAGGCTCAGAAAATCAAGAATGAATACAATACATTAGTAGTACTGTAGTTACAAACCTCTGTTATTCAGGAAGTTGAAAAGCTTGGAAATGTTTAGAAATTAAAATACTGCAGATGAAATAAATATCGATTGCATTATTGGTGTCACTTCTGCTGGGTGACATTGATTTATTATTTTAAAATAAACAATGATTTCAAAATTATTTTGCAGACTTTTGTTGCTATAATTGTGTCTTCACTAGTGAAAAAGCTGTTTGTAAATTTTCAATTATATATGTTACAATAATACAGTACTGTATACGGTATGTGAAAAATGTTGGCCTCTTTTTATTGGCGAGTCCAGGTTGAGCCCTGGACTGCAGATGTCGCCCCAGGCCCTGGCACCAGCCTACGCGTACCACCAGCACCAACAGCGTGGCTCCTTCGACGATGGCATGATCCCGAGGACGAACCAGTCGTGGCGCAGTGGCGGCAACAAGGCGGCTCATCCCACAGTCTACTTGGCACCAGCGATGGTACCCGGACACCATGCACCACTGTCCAGGCGCCACTCGGACGCCGCCACGGGTTAATTTATGAATATCTTATGGAATTACCTCAAATCAAAAATAGATCTCCAATGAAAAAACCTCAACTTGGCAAAAATTGAAAAAAAATTAGAATCAATTGTGCTCATGAAAAAGCCCATGTATATTCATGCAACAAGGATTCCTTGAGTGCTATAAAAGTGAAGGCGAAATTATAGGGGTTATAATTGACCCAATTCCTGGCTCCATCAACAATGAAGCACACAACAAAACATGGGTTCCACAACTGCATTTTGAATTGTCTAAAATTATATTGATTGTTCTCTATTGATTCTCAAAGAGCGGTGCCCTTCTTCCATATAGTAGATGCCCTAAACTTTTAATGCGACGGGAAAAAAGGTTGAGGGGCCCATGAAAAGACCATTTGGGGTTTTAAAGCTTCAAGGATGCGAACCCTGGGTAATATAAAACTATGCACAAAATTACGGAAGAAGGTTCTGAAAATCAAGAATGAATACAATATAGTAGTAGTAGTTAAAAACCTCTGTTATTCAGGAAGTTGAAAAGCTTGGAAATGTTTAGAAATTAAAATACTGCAGATGAAATAAATATTGATTGCATTATTGGTGTCACTTCTGCTGAGTAACATTGATTTATTATTTTAAAATAAATAATGATTTCAAAATTATTTTGCAGACTTTTTTTGCTATAATCGTGTCTTCACTAGTGAAAAAGCTGTTTGTAAATTTTCAATTATATATGTTACAATAATACAGTACTGTATACGGTATGTGAAAAATGTTGGTCTCTTTTTATTGGCGAGTCCAGGTTGAGCCCTGGACTGCAGATGTCGCCCCAGGCCCTGGCACCAGCCTACGCGTACCACCAGCACCAACCGCGTGGCTCCTTCGACGATGGCATGATCCCAAGGACGAACCAGTCGTGGCGCAGTGGCGGCAACAAGGCGGCTCATCCCACAGTCTACTTGGCACCAGCGATGGTACCCGGACACCATGCACCACTGTCCAGGCGCCACTCGGACGCCGCCACGGGTTTATCGGTGCCGGATAACGTGCTGAGGTTGCCGCGGGGCCCGGACCCAACAGCCGGCAGAGGGTTCAGAACCAGCCACTTTGCCCAGTGGACCCAGCCGTCGGGTTGCAATAGGTTCCAGCAGAAGGGCCGCTCTGGTTCCGTGCCCACCGTCGTATTCACCAGGTTGGTATTTTTATTATTCTCCATAAAAAAAAAGGTTGTCTTATTCGAAGCCAAAAAATTATGTAATATTTTTTCCAACTTCGAAAAACTGATTTTCATAATTAAATGCACTGGGAAAATAAAAATTAATTGTATCGACTAAATCATGACATTATTTTTGGGGGTGTAATTACTTGAAAATCTTCTGCTTCTATCTTTTGCATCTATTTCAAGAAGAAGAGAACGGTTCCAGACCACATTCATGATGTTTTAAAATACTGTGAAAAGTTTTCATTTACATATCACCGATTGAAATTTTAGAAGCATGGGTTTTCTTGTTTCAGTAATAAAAGTGATGCTCACTTTGGCCCTATTTTTAAATTTTAAATAGTGATTCTAAATTTAAGTGAAACAATATTTTAAAAATGCAAAAATCTCATGATATATGTAAGCATTCAAAACTGAGAGAATATATGATCTTGAAGCGAAGTTTTATTGTTATGTATAAAGAGAAATTTGCATCAAGATCACTTTCCTTTTAAATAAGTGCTCATATTAAAAACCCTATTTTAAAGTTTATTTATATATTCTTTACCTTTTAGGAGCATGCTGCTGTATAATTTAAAATTGACAAGCAATATGAGTAGAAATTTTTCAGTGAAGATATAATAAGCTATAGAATTTTTACAAAATAAATTTAAAACCATCCAATATTCATAAAAAACCAATCTTGTCCAGAACTGAGTATAATCATGGTCCAGAAAATTGGACCAAGATCAGGAAGTTTAAACTCTACCTATGCTCTGTGAAAAAAAGAGTTAAAAGGATGAACCTGGAATTTAAAAGATGTCAGACTTTCAAGGGAAGGAAATTCATAAAATGTTCAAAGATGTCTGAGAGGTCGTCAGTATCTTGGATGATTTCAAAGCTTGGAAGAATTAGATGCTTAGAATGTTTCAAAGTTGTTCACATGCCTGAGGATACACACTCCCAAGTGATTCTATCTCCATATAAAGGACTAATGTCACTCATGGGTGCATTTGATCAGACAATGAATAAAAGTTGTAAAATGCAACATATTTATAAATACCTTATGAAGGATTCAATATATGAATTTGAAATTATACCAAAGCCTTAGTAAAAAAATTTCTTCCTTTCCCCCATTTCCATTTGGTACAGGTATGCACCACAAGAGATGCAGGTGCAGCAGGATGAACCACAGTATGTGTACCAACCAGTGGTGATGCAAGAGATGCAGCCACAATATGATGAATCTGTGCTGCATCAGCAACAGCAAATGATGCCAGAACAAATGCAGCCAGTGGAAGTGATGCAACAACCAGTGGAAGAACAACAACAACAACAACAACCATCACCACAACAAGTGTGTGTAGCTGAGACCATCCCTGAGGCTCCAGCAGCTGAGGCTGCAGCCACTGAGGCAGAGACCAACCAAGCCTAAAAAAAAAAAGTGTGAAAAAAATCCATCCTGTGACAGAAGAAAAAGACCTTTTCCTTTAAGCCTATCATCTCTTTTTACCCAGTGTGAGGAGTTACCATTTTTCAGACAGGAAACCTGACTTATTCCTGTCTTTCTTCCTCTTTTACCTCCCTTTCTTCATCTTCTTCCTCTTGAATATATTTCACAGTCTTAGAGTCTCTCTTATTGATTGGGGAGAAAAAAAATGGGAATAGGGGCATTTTTATCCTGGTTTTTCGCCTTAGGCAAGCTCTGGAAGCTGAGCCACAAATAGGTCTGAGAACTATGATTTTTTTTTCCATTGTAAAACCTTATTTATTGGCATGCTTGCACTGTGAGAAAACCTTCCATGTTTTGCACTTTGGTGAGAGACTTGCTTCCCTGTGCAGGGAATAGGAGATATGAATGAAACACTTGGACATTTGGTTGCTTCCTTGATGTGGTCTTACAAGAGTTGATGGAGACTAAAGGGGTCAAATAAGACCCTTCAATCAATTGACTTTTTTTTTGTTAGGACCCTTCTTGTGGAGAACTAAGGGATGGTTTAGTAGATCCCAATACCCTTGGGACTAGACCCAAAAAGAAAGGCTGATGTGTATTTTTTGGCATGGTGTGTCAAGAGTGCTGGTGAGAGCCATGAACCCTGTGGGTCCAGGAAAAATGGCAACAGTCCACCCAATTTTGACTATTTAGCAACAAAAAAAAGAGATTAGAAATCCCTGGCACATCTAGCAGAGTTAATTCCCAAAAATAAGGACTATGATCCCAGTCCTTGGCTCTGGAAAGCCAAAACAGTGAGAGAGTGGGAAAAATTGTCAACCCAGAGTATAACTCCTGGGGGGTATTTATAGAAAGGCTCTGTGGGGAAAAGAACCCTTGAAAAAAAATGGGTCCATGACCTCAGGGTTGTTTCCAAAACACCACCTCTGCTTGTGAGAGTCTTGTTCTGTGTTTCAGACAAGAGAGAGGATGAATTGGTCCGGTGAGGAAAACAAAAGAAAGAGTGCTGAAGCACTGGAAGAAAAACTAACCTGAATGCGAGGGTTAACTCGAGATTTTTTTGTAGTGATTTTTTTTAGTTTAATTTATTTCTAATTTATTGGGTCAGACGAGGAGGAGATTTGTCCCTAAACGCCAGCTTGACAAGCTTCCTTTTTTTATTTTCCCCCTGAAAAAAAAAACGCCTCTTACCTCAAGGGCATTGGACTTCTTGTCTCTGTGGCTTCTGTTTCAGCTCTTTCATTCTCGGAGAGGATTTTTAAAAAGTCCTGGTTGGCAACGTTGGCGTCTAGGAAAAAAAAAAAAAGAGAATGCGGCGATTATTTTTATTCTGTGTCTGAGTGTGATAATAAAGAGAGAAAAAAAAGAGATTGAGGATCAGGATGAAGGTGTTCACTGCATCATTTGCATTTTGAGTAGTTGGCAACGCTGGGTGTTCAAAGGATGAATTGCATCACCCTTTTTCTTGGTGTTTCTCAATGTTGGAAAGATTTATGGAGGGGAGCCTGGAGGGAAGCATTTTGAGAATGCCAAGTCCTTTTCTTTCTCATCTCAGTTGATTGTTTGAGAGCATAATATGCTGATCACTCTCTTTTTTATAGCATATGCAATCGAAAGCTTTTAGCATGTCAAAAATCTTTCATTCCTTTGCAAAGGAATTGGGTAACAAGACTATAGAATCATTTCATACTAAAAACATGTGCAATCTAAACTGCATCTCTAAAAACTGCCTCAAAAACATCAATCCAAAGTATTTCATGATAAACAGAGTCTTTCAGGCTCTTAAAAATGAAAAGAAAACATTCAACAGTGGCAATTTCAAAGATATTGTTTCAGGGATCATTTGAGACGTTTATTTAGCACAGTCAAGTGGTCAATTATAAACTTGAACAAGCCTCATCAAAGAAAGCATTTTGTGTTTGGTTCTGATCTTCTATAAGCAGTTCATTTCTTCCACCCAAGAGTACTTATTTGCCCATAAAGAATATATTCTTTGCCTCTAAATTATTTCCAAAGATTTTAACAAATTCATCATCAAGATACCTTGAATCTTTTCTTCTATTGCTCTTGAAAATAAAATAAAAACAACCTTGGCATCTTGCTCTATATAAGAATCCATAATTGGAAGAAAATTCACTGAACTATTTCAATTATTTTTTTTACTGGTTGTAAATTATACCTTGAATAAAAAAAGTCCACACATTTTAAATTATTTGTGGTAAAATCATGAGCTAAAAAGCCACCAGGTTGGAGGATGACCAGAGGCAATCAACTCAAGTTCATCCACTTTCCTACCTTCGCAAGAAACAACCATAGGTTTTCCAGCTGTTCCATCACACCCAGGCTCAAGGGAAAAACCTTGGTGTCTTGTCTTCAAGGAAGTCTTCCACCAAATCCCGAAACGGAAAATAACAGCTACGGCAAGAAGAAGAAGAAGAAGAAGAAAGATAGACAGCAAAAAAAAAAACTAATGATTGTACAGCATATATATATATATATATATATATATATATATATGAAGAAAAAAAAAGGGGGGCTTGGGGCCACATGCCCCCAGGATGTGGGCCGGGTTGCGCAAGAAACCCACCAGTTTTTGAATGGGGAAAAAGCCCATGAGAAAAGATGTACATACAGAGAGAGAAAGAGAGATATCTTACCCACGGAAACCCGACCTGCATGTTGAACACCCAACAGTGCACCAATCTGCACTTTCAATAACCCAAGAAAAAAACAAATTTAATTTTTCCCACCTCATGAAACTCCAAGGGTCAACTCTCTCAATGAGTCATTGATGCAGGACATCATCAGAAATGATAAATTTTAGAACAAGAACAAAAAAAAAAGACAGTCCCAAGGCTGTGGGAAGCTTCACCAGAATAAAAAAAACAGGCAATAGTTCTGGTTAATATATTGCGCAACTCTTTCATTCCCTCATATACAGCATTGAGGCGAATGAAAATCCTTGCAATTTTTGTCCCACTTCTCCACGCCCATCAGCAGCAATTTCAGCCTCATCAGCAGCTTCCACATCAGGCACTTGAAATACCCCATGATAGACCAACACACACACACATACAAAAAAAAGGTCGCTGGGTTCCCCCAAGCAGAAAAGAACCCATTAAGCTGAGAATCCATCAAGTCACCTTGAGTCACCCCTTCCATGAAATTGCCATCAGCAGCCACCATCACCACCACCACGTCACATGTTGAACACCCAACAGTGCACCAATCTGCACTTTCAATAACCCAAGAAAAAAACAAATTTAATTTTTCCCACCTCATGAAACTCCAAGGGTCAACTCTCTCAATGAGTCATTGATGCAGGACATAATCAGAAATAATAAATTTTAGAACAAGAAAAAAAAAAAAGACAGTCCCAAGGCTGTGGGAAGCTTCACCAGAATAAAAAAAACAGGCAATAGTTCTGGTTAATATATTGCGCAACTCTTTCTTTCCCTCATATACAGCATTGAGGGGAATGAAAATCCTTGCAATTTTTGTCCCACTTCTCCACGCCCATCAGCAGCAATTTCAGCCTCATCAGCAGCTTCCACATCAGGCACTTGAAATACCCCATTATAGGCCAACACATACACAAAAAAAAGGTCGCTGGGTTCCCCCAAGCAGAAAAGAACCCATTAAGCTGAGAATCCATCAAGTCACCTTGAGTCACCCCTTCCATGAAATTGCCATCAGCAGCCACCATCACCACCACCACGTCAAGGGAAGGGCACCAGCAGGAACCACAACTGGTCCTTCTGCTGCTGATAAAAAACACTCAAAAATATATATTCAGTGTGCCACCAAAAAACCTCTTCTCCAGCAGCAAGCAGGCAAACGCGGGGGGGGGGGGGGGGGGGGAGAAAAAACTGAGATGATCTGATATTTTCTTGGCTGACCCAGGACAGGGTCAAAGAGATGCGCACACTGACACAATGGCCCCAGTGTTGCAATGTCCTCCAGTCTGTGTCTGTGTTGCAAGTTGCTCTTATACTGGAGCTAGTACAACATGGTTTCCTTCAGTAATTGATGATGACTCCTGTTAATTGGATCACATTCCTCATCCACCCCCCCCCCAAAAAAAAGAAACAAGTACTTTCCTTTGACCTTACAAAAACCTGATTCTTGAGAATGCTGTCATAAACCAGGGCTGCATGGGTGAGAAGAATAAGTGTGACTTGTTGCCATCATGTCATCTCATTTCTTCGCATGTGCAACAGCTTGGAGTTGAAGTTGAGCAACAAATAACTTGTGCTCTTTTGACCCCTTCATCCTCACACACACACACACACACACATGCATGCAATGAAGAAAAATCTGACTTTAAAAAAATGCCTCCCTTGAAAGAGAAAAAAAAGTTTTGAAACAGAAAGAATTTTCCCAAAAATTCCCATCTTCCTGCTCAGCTGGCAATAATAAAACAGATAAACTATGTAGACAGGAAATCTGATAAGGAAGCAGGTTTTTATTCCTGACTCTCTTTATGAAGTGTCCTTCACCTACTCCCCTCTCCATCACCTGCATTTTCATTGACTTGTTTCTTTCTCTCTCTCTCTCTCTCTCTCTCTCTGGGGTCATTTTATCTGATTGCCACAGTACCGGGAGTCCAATAAGAGTATTCCCAATTGAGGTCAGTTCCTTTTGCTTTGTGAAGTAATGATGGAATATATCCACATGAAATGGATCAAATCCCCGTCATGGGTTCAGATCATTTTATGAATCTGAAATTTTTTTCAACAAAAGTGCTCCCAGATTTTCTAGATTCAAGAGAAATCTCATTCCATATATACACGACGTGAAAATTTACCATAAAATATTTCCACGATCAAATGTATTTTAAGGATATCCTTCAAAATTATTGCGTTTTTGCGTGTGAGCCGAATGCCCAACAATTCCGCTTCCCAGCTTTGCTTTATGATGAGAAAACAATTGAGAACTTGTTTAATTAGTTTTAACGAGTCAAGTATAATTATAGGTCCTTTGCAAAAGTGACCGTGACATACTGCGAACTTTACAATTGGAAACTATGGAAAACTATGGAAAGTTGATCATGTCATTCCTCGATGTTAGAAATCCAGTTCTCTAAAATATTCCGAATACATTTTTAAAGTCTTTTGAAACTTTGTTTTCCGATTGTACATTGTATATAAAAAATTAAGCTCGAAATACACGGAATGCCGCACATTTCAACAGCTTCAGCAACGTCAAGGTTTAGATTTAATGATTTTTTTATGGAAAGGTCTGTATAGAAAATCTAAGAATAGAATATTCGGAGAAACATTAGCTGAAATAACCTCATCTCCAGCCAAAACCACAGGAAATAAAATCCAACGCATGTTCCCTTCTTTGAGTTGCTCAATCACTCTTCGTAATTAAGCTCACAGCTTTCCACTTTTTTAAAAAAACAAATGAAATTTTAATACATTTGAAAGTACAGTACTGTACAGTACTTTCAACTTCTAATTG